TCCCTGCAGGTAAAGCCAAGTGGTACTCAAAGCAGCAAGGGTGGCTAACTCTATTAGTCATTTTCCTTGTCGGTAATGGTTGGAGGGTGTCTAAGTCTTCACATCTTTAAATGTAGAGGAGAGATAGTTCCATAACTCATTTAAGTCAGTGTGTTTCCCACATAATGTGCTTTCTGTTAACTTTCAAAGTTGTTTCCTTGACGGTTTGCTAGACACAGGTATGCATCAACGAGGACATTGATCTTCCCTAAAGGGGGAGAGTGTCGTAAATGTGACTTTGGGTATCGAAAGATACTTGTCAGCCAGTCCTTACAGACACTCTTTCCTTACTGCCACGACGGCAGAAGGTCGGTACTACTAGTTCCCTTTATGGTCTCCACCTGAGCTAATTGAGCAAATGGTCAGCACATGTGCACTTAGACCGGAAGGGTACTAAGGAAGGAAATCCCAAGTTGTCATTAAGTCCAGCATATTTGATCTGTTGATGAGAAACTTATATTGTTGGCTTGCACTTGCTGGTGTTGGGAACCCCTACGATATTGTGATTAATCCCTCAATATTCGCTAGATGATAACTTACTATGTCTGGCAAACACCCTTGCTATCATGCCTTTTGTGTTAGTCTCATTTCAATATCAAATGTTATTTATGGAAAGTGTTTAGACTTGCTCATTTGGCATATCTACAGAATGTGGAGATTGTTTTGAACACAATAGTGTTTATCCTGTGTCCAAATTCACAATCTAGAGACATTCCATATTTAGTAAGTTTTGAGCTTGTCCTAGAGACTAACTCCTGGTACTAAGGGAGGCTTGGGGTGAAAGCCCAAAGTGTGTGTTCTTCAGAGGGGGGGGGGGGGGGCTATGGGGGCTTTCAAATATATAGTAGGGATAGTGTTTGACATGTATGTCTGACCACTTGAGACATTAGTTTGGCTCGTGCTGGGTTGTGTTGCTCCTTGTTTTGCATCTGCCTTGGGTCTAACCTCAATCTCTGTGCTACTCTAGTCACAGGGGTACCCTCCTCCTCGCGTTAGACCACTAGTATGCCAAAATCGGGCCAAAAACTGTCTGAAATCATTTTGGGGGTAGGAGTTAAATACCGGAAGCTAGTGTTTATGAAATTGTACCAAACCCTTGTTTTGTAATGCAATGGGCTTGGGTTTGGCTCCAAATTCAAGTGGGCTACAATGACCCCTCATGGACAAATGGCTCAATCTTTGAAAAACAGGACTGTGATGTAAGTGGTCTTGGACTACTGATGTGGTAAGGGTGAATGGGCATAGCCTCAACATAATAGACTGATATATTGGTGCTACCCTTGGGTGTCAGTTATGGGCGATGGGGGCTTTCAAATGTATAGTAGGGATAATGCTTGAAATGTATGTCCGACCACTTGAGACATTAGTTTGGCTTGCATTAGGCTATGTTGCTCCTTGTTTTGCATTTGGCCTGGGTCTAACCCTAATCTCTGTGCTGCCCTAGTCACTAAGGTACCCTCCTCCTCGCATTAGGCCACTAGCATGCCAAAATCATGCCAGACACTCTCTGACATCATTTTGTGTGTAAGAGCTAGATACGGGAATCTGGTGCTTGTGGGATTGTACCGGACCCTTGTTTCATAATGCAACGGGCTTGGGTTTAACTCCAAATTCAAGTGCGCTACAATGATCACTTATAGACAAATGGCTCAATTTTTAAGAGATGGGACTGTGATGTAAGTGGTTTTATACTACCGATGTGGCAAGGGTGAATGGGCATAGCATTAATGTAACAGACTGATATGTTTGTGCTACCCTTGGGTGTCAGTCATGGGATTGGACATGTGGAGCACTCAGACTAAATGCAAAAGCTAACTGGTATAGATGCCATTCACAAGGCTAGCAAGTCCTTAAATCCAGAATAAGACTTATGGAGGTGGTGAGTAAGACTCCTCCAAGTGGTCAGAGGTGTGGTTAAGTGACTAAAGTAGAATAGAAAAATTAATTACTTACACTATTCAATCATCAAGATAGAAGTAGACTATTTTCCAAAGTAATTGCTTAAAATAAACTTACTAATGTCTATTTCTTTTGATAGGAGTAGCCATTGATACTAAAGTGATGCAATCTATTCATAACTAATGGCTTGGAATATTTATTGTCTAGATATTTGAGTAGTTTATTTCAAAGATTATTAGTTCATACATTTTATATACTTCATAGAGCAATTTTAAGTCATTTTAAACTTGTAGCCTAGAGATAATTAAATATATTACAGCATCAAGTATAAAGAAGTTGCTATTATATGTATAAATATGTAGTCAATGTTTTTTTATGTAATGTGTTCTACACCAGCTTGATTTGTAGTGCTATTTTCAAGAGTTTTTTAGCATTTTTAATGGATCATAGTCAAAAGTAGTTTTGGCATGGGCTGCATCAATTTTCATTGTGATGCCTTCTATACCTACCACTTCTTTTAATATTTGATTTTGAAATATTAAATATTAATATTATTCATAAGGGTAAGAGTAATAGCTCTCTTTAGAGTCCCACTCTCTTAACACCCTAGCCCTCAAGTCTAGCTCAATTAAAACATATTGGACCATTAAATGTTAATTTTAACATACAATGTGATTTCCCCAACTAAATGACAAAGTTGGACATAAGATCTTTTTTATACCTAATTTAAAACTTTGAAGTTTAGACTTCCTAGAGTGTTACCCTACTCCTTAACCCCAAATATCCAAAGGTACTTAACACCAAATATTTAAATACCATTAACTAAGTGCATTTTTGTTCATATGCCTTTTTCCCTTTATATTTGAACTTGAATGAATTGGTTATTAAGTAGTTCTTTTTGTTTTCCTACAATAATGCAGAACAAAAGCTTGTCATCATTAGCAAAAAAAGTGTTTATCAACTTGAGTATCATACATGAGTTTTGCCATTATTGTGTCTCTATTACATCAATCTATCCAATTGGGGTTGGTAGATCTAGCTAGAGTACATAAAGTAGTATTTGTGGGTTCTAGCTACACTCGGGATGTACTAATATTATACCCCCAGGCCGTGGCCAACAACTCAAAAGTCTAGCAAACTTAGTACCTATTGATAAACTCATTGAAATGTTTATATAGGATTACTAGATGATTCTATGGTTGGATAATCAAGGACAAACTTTTTACTAGGTTAAAGAATATTGTTCTTATAGTGATTTAAATAAATGGTATAATATGACTTGGTCAAGGTGACCAAGTGGGAAAAACACTTAAGTGAAATGATTCCTAACAATATAATGGTATTATGAATTCAAGAAAATAATTTCTAAGTAAGGACTTATAAAAAGGTCATAAAATTGAACCATGGATAGTGTCTACAATAGAAACTGTTAGTAAAACTTATTAGGGGTGAACACCTTTTGGACTTGGCAAAGTAAAGCCTTTTTTATAAAATAAAAAACTACCCTAATGACAAAGGTAGTGATCCTAAGTTTTTTGGTGTAATAACTAATAGGAGCAAAAGATTAATAACTAAAAATGGGTTTTTGTAATTATTAAAGGGAATTCAAATGATAAATTAGGGGAGAAACCACTATATTATAGATGCTAATGGATTATGGGAAAGTAATAAAATTCCAAAGAATGGGATTTCCAAGTGCTTTGCTTTGACGAAAGGTGAACACTCTAAGAGATAGAGTGGTCATGTAGTTAAATGATAAAGCTATTGGAATCCTAACTCAAATTATGGATAAGTGAAATTTAGTGTATAAGTTAGTATGATATAAAAGAAAAAATGATGGTGTCCTCAATAAAGAATTCTTTAGGATGGGGAAATAGAGTTTGCACAATATATACAATGAAAGGTGTCAAAAACATTGATACAAGAAGTCAATATTAATCCAAAAGGTAATATTATGTTGATATAGTCAAGCAAATATTACTTGATGAACTTGGGGTAATCCAATAGGACAGGCATTTCATTCCTTTTGACTTTCATGCTTGTATGTCCGTTTGGAGCCAAAAATTTCTACCGAATCAATATGTTGTGAGCATTTGGAATTGAGAGGGGAAGTTCTCAATCTTGTAAACCTTCAAAAGGCAGTGTGTGCTTCACATATAATTATCTCCTTTCTTCTTTAATCTTCTAACAATGCTGAGTTTTAAGTTCAGTGGAATGAGGTGACTGTTTCATTCATGCAGGAAACACACCCAGAAGTTCCAACGCCTAATACCCCAAAGGCATTCTTTATTTTTCTTAATGTTGGTTAATATGGTGAAATTTTTCTGGTTACAAAGGGATTTCGAGGAGGTGGCCATTGTGTTGGTTTTTGTTTTATGTAATGGTTAACATGTTTCAGGAGAACGAATAGGCAAGCGTGATCATAAGCGCACGCTACATTCAAATGCCAATTCTGGTATCTTTCTGTGGTACAGGCTCCAGCAAGATTTTCAAACACACCTCCATCTCCACCTCAGCAGAAACGTGCTCGTAAGTTGAAGTCAGAAAGCTGAGGAACGAAAGAGTGGTCTCCTTTTATTTGGTAAGCTGTTGGTCTCGTCTTTCTTATCTGACTGGCATTGTTTCCTAGAAGAACTTTCGAGTAATATCTGCACGATCAAAGCGGATCTCGTTCTATGGAAAGGAGAAATCTTATAGGGCTCGGCAATTGACCCAGAAGTTGTCCAAGAAGATCTGAGATATAATATACTGGAGGCACTTTCGCGACATTCTGCGACAAATGACAAGCTCCAACGAGGAGCTATGATCGCAAAAGTCGCAGCTAAATCACAGGCTTGCGAGGGCCACGCGAAGAACGGTGTGCTTGTGTTGTCGGGGACTTGGCTACGTACTGAAATGCTCGTTGCACTGCTTCAGTCGCAATCAAGGAAAAAGATCTGGCTCTTTCATTTGTTTTCACTTTTTTGACAGGCAAAAGGCAAAAGAAGGGTGCTCACACTTCAGGCGTCGCGCCCTTTTGGAGTTGAAAAAGTCTAGGGTTTGCGTGGGGCTGCCGAGAGGCGATGCAGGGCAGGGGTTTCGGATTCGTCATGGCTGGCGGTGCCGCTTGCGCCGCCGGCCTCCATGCCATCGACGATGTGCCGTTTGAAGGCGCCATCCGCAGCTCGGCGCACCAGCTTTGCACGCTGAATGAGGTGAGTGCTTCATCCACCCTGGGCAGGGAAGGGAGATACAGCGGCCATTTCACATCTTGTGTGGCTTGGCTCAGAGCTTGCAAGGCTTAGACTCGAAGCACAGCGACGGTATGACCAAGACGCTATCGGAAGATGTGAGGCGCAAGTGCGGCAACCTTAGCTGGGCCGACCTCGCAACCAAGCTGTCCCTGCTCATGTGGGAGCAAGCTGGGGTTGCCGACGATGGCTACAACAAGCTGCAGTGGGATGAGATACGGAACAGGGCAAATTACGTGACGGGAAGGCTGAGGGAGATGCAGGACAACTTCCCGGGCGACCACAAGGTGTTTAGGAGCACCTTTTGTGCCCTCTTGAACGCCTACGCCATCATGCATAGCATGCTCTGGAACCCGGCTTGCTCACGGTACGTGTACCCTCTCTTATCCTCCCGACCTTCCTCTCACCCATCTTTGCTCGGTTTTCAATCCAAGCAGGTGTTGTGTAGCTGCAGAATGGTGGATCTGGGGAATGGTGTATTCACAGTCAAACAGGCACAACCTGGACAGAGTCCTCGCCCGCCTTCAGCTCCATGCGCTCTACCTCAGCTCCGACATTCTGCCAGACGCAGCCAAGCTCTTTGCTGCAACCAAAATCGTGCAGCCGGATCTGCTCGACGCGCAAAACTGCCTCATATCTAGCGTCCCGACGGCGTTGGACACTGTTGTGGGGGACAAGAGGCTCTTTCTGTCCATTTCCCCTGCTCCTGTCTCAGCCTCAGAAAGCCTACTTGCAGCTACACCAACTAGTCCCTCGTCCATGAGAGAGACTTTGATGCCCGAAGGAGCACCGCCATTGCAACCGTTCCTGCCATCCGCCAGCATTCCTTCGGCTGTCTCCTCGCTGCCATCCACTATCGCCGCTGTTCCCTCCTCCATCGTATCCAAGGCAGTGGAAGCAGCCTCAGCTGTAGCATCTGCAGCATCGTCGGTTTTGGCGTCGGAAGTAGCACGCAGTGTTGAGGAAACCGAGCCAGAGGTGCCACAACAGGTTCAAGAAAAAGTAGAAGCTTTGAAGGTTAAGTCGTCTCTAGTTCAGTCATCCGAGCCACAGGTTGGCATGGATAACTTGGCGGGAAGGGTCTCCTTGGGTTTTCAGAAGAAGGTGGCCGATTTGCAAGACAAGGCCGCTTCTCTGCTGCAAATCAAGGCATCGGAACTGCAAAACAAGGTACTCATTATGGGAATTGGAGTGAGACTGAATAAACTTGACAGGTGCCAGCGAGGTTACTAGAATTGCAAGGGAAGGCTGGTCAGGTAGGAGCCGTGGCCTCGGACCTCCAATCCCGCGTCACCGCAATTCCGTCGGTGTTGGATGCGAAAACAAGCGAGATGCAGGCCCGTGTCGGGTCGACTCTGTCCTCCCTTCCCTCGCAAGTCCGGGAAAGTATTTCAGACGCACAGGCAAAGTCCTCTGCAGAAATGCAGGCGACTGCTTCGTCAGTACAGTCTGGGCTGCGAAATAAAGTTGCTACTCTCTCATCGGCGATACAGGCGAAGGTTGCAGCAGAAGACGTTCAAGCTAAGGTGGCATCGGGGTTCAGGTCATCTGACCTGGTTTCAGACTTACGTGAGCCTTCGACAGAAGTAAAGTCAAGTGTACAATCAAGAATTCAAGCTCTCGAGTCACGAGCCTCTGCTTCTGCTCCAAAGCACCACCTTCCTCCAAAACCTCCATCCGTTGCAGTGGATGTTCCACCGGCCGTGGCAACCGTGGCATCTGCTGTTGCGTCGGCGGCATCCGCAGCGATGGCGGCAGCTAGCTCCGCAATTCAGGCACAGGAAGCAGCACCAGCTCCGCAAGTAGTTCCTGTAGCCATTGTCAGTGCACCGGGAAAGATGGCCAAGCCTTCAATACGCATGCCGTCTCCTTCGGGGCCCATAACTACAGAGACGACAATGGGAGGCCAGAAGGTGTTTGTGACACTCCCTGAGACTCCCAAGTTGCTGCCAGCTCCGGTGGAACAGCAAGCAGCAAGGGGCGGTAGTATGGTGAGCTTGGCCGCGGCGTCCACGTTAGCAGCGCTCCCGCCCTTGGAGCAAGGGATATTTGATCTTCCGGCGGTGCCACTGGCAGTGTTCCCTACGGCTGAGAAGAGCCACTGCCTAGCCATAGTTCCGTTTCAAGAGCAGAGGCACTGCGTGGCCTTGATACCGGCGTTGGGAGCGGCATCTGGCGACAGGCCATTGATTGCAATTGTGCCACACGAAGACATGAAGCACTGCTTGGCGGTGCTGCCAGGCGCCCGTAGTGTTGGTCTTCCCGAGCACAAGAAGCGGTGCCTGGCTATCATTCCGTACCAGGACAAGGACAGCTGCCTGGCGTTGATCCCCACGTCACAGGAGGTGGCCTCGGCTGGCGAGCAACAAGAGAGCTCCCTGGCTGTGGTGCCGTTTGAGGACAGGCTCGAGTGCCTGGCGGTGGTCCCGACTGCGCCATCGGAGGCGCTTGCCAGCATGAGCGCGAGCAAGAGCGCGCAGGACCTGGTGCAGTGCTTGGCCATGCTTCCGCCTCAAGAACACGAGCACGGCGGCGTGGTGCGCAAGTTGGCAGTGGTTCCATTGGACGACAAGATGAACTGTCTGGCACTACTGAGGCCCGACGGCCCTCTGGACCTGCGGCAGCAGTGCATGGCTCTCATTCCCGCCATGCCGGAAGCCGTCCACGCGAGGCTAGAGCAGCACAGGCATTCCTGCTTGGCCATATTCCCGGCGTCCACGCCGGGTGGTGGCCAAGGCCAGGCGCTGGCACTCATTCCCGTGGCAGGAGCAGGAGCAGAGGAGGCTCCTTGCCTGGCGATAGAGCCAACCACCCCGGAGGCGGCCATGGCGGACCAAAGGCACTGCATTGCCATCATCCCCACCAACCCGGACGTGTGCATGGCAGACGGTGGCTTCTCGATTGTCCCCACGACACCGAACGCAGCCCTCCGCGACGCCAGCCAGTGCTTCGCTATCATCCCCACCGCTCCCAACCTCGCCTTGTGCCACCAGAAGACCGTGCTCGCCATTGTACCTGCTGCACCGTCCGCCACCCCAGCAGGCCCCAGCACCAGCGCAGGCACCCTCGAGGCTGACAAGCCTCTTGTCACTGTCCTCCCCTCCCCTTCTTCATCGTCCTTCCCGTTCGCGGACAAGCACAAGTTCCTTCTCCCGCCCGACGAGCCTACGACCGCCCAACTTTACGAGGAGCTCCAGCCGGTTGCGCACCTTATCAAAGTGGGGCTGAGGGAGCGAGTGCGAGCTCTTGTGGATGAGCTTGAAAAGCATGATAAGCAGCGGCAGGTGGCGGGAGTGGCTATCCTAGGCGAGGGCGGGCTTGGAAAGAGTGCAATACTGAGAGAAGTCCTTACGGAACTCCGGAGGAAAGGCGAACACGCAGTGGCGTATGGAGAGACGAGCGTGGCATCTTCACCGGAGGCCCTCACGGACACCATCTCTAGCCTTGTCCACCAGCTTGGAGGGGATTCGAGGGAAGTATATTACAGCACGCTGGAAGCCAGGCAAGCTCTCGGCAAGCAGCTGGCGCAGCTTGGGGCCAAGCAAAAGGCGGTGTGCGTGGCGGTGGACAATGTTTGGTCTGGTGCAGCTCTGAGGGAAATGCTGCCCAGGAACCTGAGCCAGTTGCTATCTCCGGCAAGCTGTGTTATGGTTACTTGTCCCTCCGAGTCCGTGGCACGGGCGCTGGACGAGCTGTGCAAACCAGCACATCCGAGTGCTACCGTCAACTACTGTTTTTGGTGCTATCAACCCAGCCATCTGTCACCTCCAGAGGCCAAAGAAATGTTTATGCTGCACGCGTCCAAGCGCGGGGTGCATCTCTTACCGGAGCATGAAGAGCTGGTTGACGATCTTGTCCCGCTCTGTGGCGGCCTTCCGCTCGTGCTGCAGGTTGTGGGCTCACACTTTGCAAGGTTTGCCCGACGGAAGAGAGACGAGTGGCTGCACATAGCAAAGAAGCTGAAGCTGGCACAGGAGTTCCAAGTTCGCGACGACGAGATATGCTCCAAGCTCAAGGTGATTTACGACGGTCTCGACCCGTCCTTTCAGGAGGCCTTCCTGGACGTTGCAACGTTCTTCCGCGGCGCCAACTGGAAGATGGTGGAGAGGAGTCTGGGCAAGCACCAGCTCGCAAGCTTGGCAGATCAAGCTTTCGTGTTTGCCAAGCAAAAAGAGCCGGATGCACAATGGTGCTCGCAGGATCTACTGGATTCGGTGCCTGTGTGCAGGCAATCCATGAGGTTGAATACAGAAGTCGTGGAGATGCATGATTTGGTTTACTCTCTGGGCCACCAGCTTGCCAAGGGAAGCTACGTGACTTCCAGCGACGCACAGAGGTTGCCGGATGTCCTGCACAATAAAGGGGTAAGTGATCTCCCTCCCTCTCCTTTGCTTTGCTGATCATTCTTGTTTGCAGGAGCTAAGCATGATCAAGGGGCTTACATTGAAGAGGTGTCAAGAGCCTTTCCCTGTGGGACTCATCGACAAGATGAGGAAGCTTCATGTACTCGTCTTCGAAGGCACGAGTATGATCGGTCACTGCCACCGCCCCCCGCACCAGCTGCGCTACTTGGTTTGGCATCCCCTGGACCAAGGGAAGGAGAGAGCATCAATGCCGTTCAAGCTCAAGAGACTCAGCAAGCTTGCCGTGGCACATTTGCACAACATACGGTCTGATTTCACCGACATTGACGTAAGCTGAGGCAACAAGGCTAGCCAGCTCTCTAAAAACTTCTTGTTTGGCTTGTCCCTTGTGCAGTTCCCTCCGAAACTGGTGGAGTTGGAGCTAGACAACTGCGTGAAGCTTGTTGAACTCCCCCGCTCAATCGGGAGCTTGAAATGGCTGCACAGCCTGCACATGCACAACTGCCACAGCCTGAGAGCACTTCCGGACTCGATTGGGGGCCTGGTCATGCTGCAGGAGCTTGTGCTCAGCGTGTGTACCAGCATCACGGAGCTGCCGCAGTCCTTGGGGAACCTCCACGACCTCGAGTACGTGGACCTTGCGGCTTGTTTCAAGCTCATGGCCCTGCCCAGAAGCATTGGAAGGTTGATGGCGCTCAAGGTGATGGACTTGACAGGATGCGAGAGCCTGACGAGCTTGCCGCCGGAGATCGGTGAGCTGCGGAACCTGAGAGAGCTGGTCCTCGCGGGGTGTGGGTCGCTCAAGGAGCTCCCCCCTGAGATTGGGTCGCTCACACACTTGACCAACCTGGACGTGTCCCATTGTGAGCAGCTGATGCTTTTACCGCAGCAGATTGGAAACCTGACTGGCTTGAGAGAGCTCAACATGATGTGGTGCGAGAAGCTGGCGGCCCTTCCCCCTCAGGTTGGCTTCCTGCACGAGCTGACGGACCTGGAGCTGTCCGACTGCAAGAACCTGCCAGAGCTTCCCGTGACCATTGGGAAGCTGAGCTGTTTGAAACGGCTGCACCTGCGCGGATGTGCTCACCTCAAAGTGCTGCCACCCGAGATAGGTGGCCTCAAAAGCGTGAGCTCGATTGACTTTCGGGGGTGCGTGAGCCTGGCATCACTTCCGTCTGCGGAGATTGCAAAGATGAAACCGCTCACGTTCCTGGGTGCCGAGTGTGGGCCTGCCACCGAGTTGTGGCCAAACGTCCACCACCTCAGTGCGCTCAAGCGGCTTGACATTGACGACAAGTCTGGCTGCTGCGTCCTTGTTCCAGCGGAGATTTGGTCGCTTAGCACGTTGGAGAGGCTTGCGCTGCGGGGTTTCCGGGGAGTAGGCGGTTTTGCCCACGCAAAGTGGAACCTGCCCCTGCTCACGTCCCTGTGGATGGAAGGCTTCACCAACGTCACCGCTCTGCCATCAGAGCTGGCAACTCTAACATCGTTGACCTTCCTGGTGCTGGCTGAGTTCTCGAGCCTCACCGAGCTGCCGCCGGGCATTGGCCACCTGAGCAAGCTGGAGAGGCTGAGCCTGAGATGTAGAAAGCTCAAGACACTGGCGCCAGACATGTTCAGGGGGCTAACAAAGCTGCGTTGCTTAAGCTTGGCCGAGTGCGTGAGCTTGACGACGCTGGCCGTACCCAGAGGGAGCCTGGCGTCCCTAGAGATTCTCGACTTGGTAGGGTGCAGCAGCCTGACGGAGCTCCCGGCGGCCGTTGCCGGCATGAGCTCGCTGGAGAGGCTCAACTGCAGGGAGTGCACCGCACTCAAGGCCCTTCCCCCTCAAGTTGGCGAGCCAACAAGGCTGCAGGCACTCTACCTCCAGCAGTGCTCAACGCTCAAGGAGCTTCCGCCACAGATTGGGAAGCTGTCCATGCTGGAGAGGCTCGACTTGAAAAAGTGTGGCGGCCTAACGAGCTTGCCCTCGGAGATTGGCATGCTGTCAAGGCTCAAGTTCTTACATCTCAATGCGTGCACGGGTATCAAGCAACTCCCGGCAGAGGTTGGAGACATGCGGAGCCTGGTGGAGCTGGGGTTGGAAGGATGTACGAGCCTCAAGGGGTTGCCAGCGCAGGTTGGTCAGCTGCGCAGCCTGGAAAACCTTGGTCTCGACGGCTGTACGGGCTTAACATCGCTGCCAGCGGATGTGGGGAATCTGGAATCCCTCAAGCGTTTGTCACTGGCCAAGTGTTCGGCCCTCGAGGGGCTTCCGCGGGAGGTGGGCAGGCTGCCAAAGCTCAAGCTTTTGCGGCTGGACGGGTGCACCAGCATGAGTGAAGTGCCTGCGGAGCTTGGACACGTGCAGACGCTCGTCAACTTGGGTTTGGAGGGGTGCACCTCGCTGAGCTCCATACCGCCGGGGATTTTCAGGCTGCCAAATCTGGAGCTCTTGGACCTGAGGAGGTGCACACTGCTGGCTCAAGACGTGGGCTCCTCGTCGGACATGCACAAGTATGGCTGCACCCTGGTGACCAACGACTTGGACTGGGAAGGGTTTGAGGAGGTTTGGCTTTACTACTGAGTGGGGGCGGCGGATTTTGTTGAGCGAGCGAGCGCAGAGCTTTGATTCGATTCCCCTTGGCAATGGCAGAGGGTGTGGATGGATAATAATACAAGTGCAGTCAGATTTGTTCACATGGACCTCACATGACCGATGATATAACAAAACATATATCCTATATAACACACAGGAAAAGTAAAGAAGAAAAGGTAAAGTAGATAAGTAGCCACTGAGGAGGAGCAAGGGTTGTTCTTCTCTCAACTGGCAAGAATGGACAAATCCTCGTGCCTCCCGGAGCGGGCAGCCCAGCTAGGTAGATAGGGTTTGGGTCTCGCAGGGCCTCACGCGCCTCAAAACGGGGTTAGATGTTGTAGGCAAGAGGGGCGAGCAAGGGGAAGATCTAGAGAGGCGAGCATGTCGACCACCAAGCTGACTTACTCTTCGGGCAGCTCCGCCAAGTCCAAGCACAGCGTCCGTGTGGCACAGACGACCGCGGATGCCAAGCTCCATGCCGTGTACGAGGAGTCTGGTGAGTCCGGGGACTCGTTCGACTACACCAAGTCGGTGAATGCAACCAAGTCCACGGGCGAGAGCATCCCGGCGCAGGCCGTCACGGCCTACTTGCAGCGGATGCAGCGCGGTGGCCTGGTGCAGCCCTTCGGCTGTATGCTGGCGGTGGAGGAGGGCAGCTTCCGCGTGATTGCTTTCAGCGACAATGCAGGGGAGATGCTGGACCTCATGCCCCAGTCGGTCCCCAGCCTCGGCGCCGGGCAGCAGGATCTGCTGGGGATCGGCAGCGACGCGCGCAGCCTCTTCACGCCGGCCAGCGCCAGCGCCCTGGAGAAGGCGGCGGGCGCCATCGACGTGAGCATGCTCAACCCCATCTCCGTCCACTGCAAGACGTCGGCCAAGCCCTTCTACGCCATCGTCCATCGCATCGACGTGGGCCTGGTGCTGGACCTGGAGCCCGTCAAGGCCAGCGACACGAGCGTGGGATCCGCTGCCGGTGCCCTCCAGTCCCACAAGCTGGCGGCCAAGGCCATATCGCGCCTCCAGTCGCTGCCCGGCGGCGACATCGGGCTGCTGTGCGACACGGTGGTGGAGGAGGTGCGCGAGCTGACGGGCTACGACCGCGTCATGGCCTACAAGTTCCACGACGACGAGCACGGCGAGGTGGTGGCGGAGATCCGGCGCTCCGACCTGGAGCCTTACCTGGGCCTGCACTACCCGGCAACCGACATTCCCCAGGCCTCCCGCTTCCTCTTCATGAAGAACCGGGTACGCATGATCTGCGACTGCTCCGCGGCGCCCGTCAAGATCAGCCAGGACAAGGATCTGCGGCAGCCCATCAGCTTGGCCGGCTCCACGCTGCGGGCACCCCACGGTTGCCACGCGCAGTACATGGGCAACATGGGCTCCGTCGCCTCGCTGGTGATGGCGGTGATCATCAACGACAACGACGACGAGTACCGCTCGTCGTCGGGCGGGGGTGGCGGCGGCGGCGCGTACCAGCAGAAGGGCAGGAAGCTGTGGGGGATGGTGGTGTGCCACCACACGTCGCCTCGCTCGGTGCCTTTCCCACTGCGCTCCGCCTGCGAGTTCCTCATGCAAGTGTTTGGGCTCCAGCTCAACATGGAGGTGGAGCTGGCAGCGCAGCTGCGGGAGAAGCACATCCTGCGCACCCAGACACTCCTGTGTGACATGCTGCTCCGCGACGCCCCCATCGGCATTGTGTCGCAGTCACCAAACATCATGGACCTGGTCAAGTGCAATGGTGCTGCCCTCTACTACGGCAAGCGCTTCTGGCTCTTGGGCGTCACGCCCAGCGAGGCGCAAATCAAGGACATTGCCGACTGGCTGCTGGAGCACCACAAGGACTCCACCGGCCTCAGCACCGACAGCCTGGCCGACGCCGGCTACCCGGGTGCCGCGTCACTGGGCGACGAGGTGTGCGGCATGGCCGCGGCCAAGATCACCGCCAAGGACTTTTTGTTTTGGTTCCGCTCCCACACCGCCAAGGAGATCAAGTGGGGTGGCGCCAAGCACGACCCCGACGACAAGGACGACGGGCGCAAGATGCACCCCCGCTCCTCGTTCAAGGCCTTCCTCGAGGTGGTGAAGCGGAGGAGCCTGCCATGGGAGGACGTGGAGATGGACGCCATACACTCGCTGCAGCTCATCCTCCGCGGCTCCTTCCACGACATTGACGACAGCGACACCAAGACCATGATCCACGCGCGCCTCAACGACCTCAAGCTCCAGGGCATGGACGAGCTGAGCACTGTCGCCAACGAGATGGTACGCCTCATCGAGACCGCCACCGCGCCCATCCTTGCTGTCGACTCGAGCGGCTTTATCAACGGCTGGAACGCAAAGGTGGCGGAGCTCACCGGGCTGCCCGTGACCGAGGCCATGGGGAGGTCCCTCGCCAAGGACCTGGTGCTGCAAGAGTCTGCGGACATGGTGGAGAGGCTGCTCTATCTGGCGCTTCAAGGTACGCCATGACACACTTTCACGTACCTCACGCTAGCTAACCAGTTTCGTGTGGTGTGAAACAACAAACCAGGCGACGAGGAGCAGAATGTGGAGCTCAAGCTCAAGACGTTCGGCGTTCAAAAGGACAAGGAGGCGGTCATTCTGGTCGTCAACGCGTGCGCCAGCAGGGACGTTTCGGACAATGTGGTGGGAGTGTGCTTCGTTGGCCAGGACGTGACGGGGCAGAAGGTGGTAATGGACAAGTTCACGCGCATCCAAGGCGACTACAAGGCCATCGTGCAGAACCCCAACCCGCTGATACCGCCAATCTTTGGCGCTGACGAGTTTGGCTACTGCTCCGAGTGGAATCCTGCCATGGAAAAGCTGTCTGGGTGGAAGCGGGAAGAAGTCCTGGGAAAGATGCTTGTCGGAGAGATATTTGGCATCCAGATGATGTACTGCCGCCTCAAAGGCCAGGACGCCGTCACCAAATTTATGATCGTTCTCAACAGTGCAGCAGATGGCCAGGACACGGAGAAGTTCCCCTTCGCCTTCTTTGATCGACAGGGCAAGTACGTCGAGGCTCTCCTCACGGCCACCAAGCGGGCGGATGCCGAGGGTTCCATCACTGGAGTGTTTTGCTTCCTACATATTGCTAGTGCCGAGTTGCAACAGGCCTTGACAGTCCAAAGAGCCACCGAGAAGGTTGCCTTGTCCAAGCTCAAAGAACTGGCTTACATCCGCCAGGAGATAAAGAATCCGCTCTATGGCATCATGTTCACTCGGACTCTCATGGAAACCACCGACCTGTCCGAGGATCAGAAGCAGTACGTAGAGACTGGTGCTGTGTGCGAGAAGCAAATAAGGAAGATCCTGGACGATATGGACCTGGAAAGCATTGAGGATGGGTACGTAGTTTCTTTTATCTACATTTTGCAGCTAGCACGAGTTTTGTTTTTTTCTTGTCTAATGTCTGGCATTGGCAGCTACCTGGAGCTGGATACGACCGAGTTCATGATGGGGACGGTTATGGACGCTGTCATCAGCCAGGGCATGATCACCTCCAAAGAAAAGAACCTGCAGCTGATTCGGGAGACTCCAAAGGAGATCAAGGCCATGTTTCTGTACGGCGACCAGGTGCGCCTCCAGCAGGTTCTGGCAGATTTCCTGCTCAACGCGATCCGCTTCACTCCGTCATCCGAGAATTGGGTGGGGATAAAGGTGGCCACGTCTAGAAAGCGCTTGGGTGGTGGTGTGCATGTGATGCATCTCGAGTTCAGGTGAGACACGACAAGCTGAAAAATGTTTCTTTTTTATCTGATGGATTTTGCGCTCATACTGACACTGGCAATCCGTCCCGGCAGGATAACTCACCCAGGTGTTGGCCTCCCTGAAGAGCTTGTCCAGGAGATGTTTGACAGGGGCCGAGGTATGACACAGGAGGGCCTGGGCCTCAGCATGTGCCGCAAACTCGTCAAACTCATGAACGGGGAAGTGGAGTACCTCAGGGAACCCGGCAAAAACTTCTTCCTGGTCAGCCTGGAGCTCCCCTTGGCACAACGGGATGATGCGGGCAGCGTTAAGTTTCAAGCTTCCAGCTAGAGCTCTTGTAAATTAGTTTTTGCCCAAATTGTGCTTCAGTACATGTAAACTCCAGCTGTCAGCCTTATGGTTTGTACCACAGGCAGCGTCGCAGTGACGTAGAGATGTGGAACACTTGACGAGGATGCTGGACCACGAGACAGATCCCGGCACAAGCCACAGCAAGTCCCACTGCCACTTTGACAATGGTTCTTCGCTTGTATCTCAGGCTGCTCGAGTGCAAAAGGCGTGTGCTACACAGCCTCCCAAGAGTAGCAGCAGCACGCCCGTCCGCAAACCCCTGATACCGAAGGAAGTTAAAAAGGGCTATAGACAAAGCACACGTACACGCACCTCGTAAAGGCTTGCTTCTCGTTTGCCTTGATAAAGCAGCAGAACTTTGATAATGTCTGCCCTGTTGTGCGCCACTGCTGCTTGGAGAGCCTTTTCAATACCAACTCCATCAGATTGTCCCATTTGTCGAGCGGCTTCTAAGATTCGCTTTGTGGCAGCAGTCCATCCTCTTTCAACAGCAAACACTAAAAGCCGTTGGAGACGGCAAACGTGCAATGGCGTAGCAGAAACCCGTTTGGCCCGAGAGGTGTGACTGATCACCCAACCAAGGTCAACCAGTACCTCATGTGTCTCCAGCCTGCAAACATCTCGCCCCGAGCAGCAGCCAGAGCTTGAAGCTTTCAAATCCTGCTCCAGCGTCTGCACCTCTTCGCACAGCTGTTTGTCTGCTACAAGAAGCGGGACGGAGTTGCTAATCCCATGATCATAGCCTATCTGCATTAAGTGTGCCAAAATCACCTCAAGTCTGCAGAACGAACTTGACGTACCTCAACGAAGGCAACTCCCGGTCCTTGGGGGACGAGCACATCAATCTGTATGCTGGTGTAGAAGTGGCTGGAAGCGCGTATGCAACAGGGGAGATACTTTCCCCGTGAGGCAACCAGTACTCTGCCATATTATCAGGGCCCAGTTAGTTAGGGGGGAAGTAGATTTCGCCCGCCACACTCACCTCGAGTTGAGCTTCAAGAGGTTGTGCCCCGTGAGGGTCACGGTCGCCTCAGTTCCTGCCTCTACGCAGAGAGGAAACACTGCTTCAATTACTGGATACTTCTTGGTTGCTCTTTCACAAAGTGACGGCGACGAAACTGAACCTGTGCAAGCAAGCGTGAGAAAGCACGTGAGGATTACTACCTAATTACTAACTACCATTGTGAATGTATGCAACTTGGTTGCCTAGAAATGCCAAGACAAAGCCTTTGTCCCAAAAGCCAGTCTCAGCACCGGTGGTAAGTTTGACAAGGTAGTCATTCCAATCTTCCTCCAGCTGTATCCAAAATAAAGAGTCTCGAGAAAGTGTGGCAGCCTCCAACACAGACGAACCTTGGCCCAGAGTGATTGCGGCATGGCGATGAAGAGTGTGAGGATGGTGCACCCGGAGCGGATGTAGCCTTCAAGCTCCACAGGCATATTGGCAAGCCACTCCATAATCTGCGAAGGAGAAAACACGGATGAGCCAACGGAGTTCAAGGGCATCGAGGGAATACCTGTCCTCGAAGTCTCCGTGGAAAGTCGGCGGGGTTCCAGTCATAAAACTTGAAGGATATCCGCCTTGTTGGACACTGCAGACGAGACGGGCATACACACTTAGCTAAGAGAGAAGTCATGGTCTGATCTCACCGGTGAGGTGTAGGTGGTACGCTTTGGGAAGCCCGACGTGGTGGACACGGATTGGTTGTTGTGTTGCTCTTGCTGCTCTTCCAGCAGCATTGCAAGCAGTGACTCCTCCCCGCTTGCAACATTGGTGTCAACACCGAATGAATCGTCGTCACCTTCATGGTAGGGTGGCTTGCTCCCTTGTAGCAAGCGCTGGGCATGCGAGCGGAGGCAGTAGAGGTCATTCGCAGAGGGAGCTCCTCCTCCTCCTGCCACGCCCTGCTGGACGTCGCTGACTGCAAGGGAGAAGGCATTAACGGCCGTTCCAACATGAAACGTAAACAGGGGTGCATACCATCTGAGTTGGTAGTGGTGTTGGGAGCAGTGCCATGCTTGTCGCTGACCACGCTAGTGTCGCCAGACTCGGGCAGCTTGCGCCTCCTCCTGTCGTTGTGCCTCTCGAGCTTCCTCCTGCAGCTCCGCTTGCCCTCGTCAAAGTCGCCCAAGGGATGAAACCTGAGGAGAGCAAAAGGTCCTCAGAGGGGGGTGTATACAGCACGTCAACTTACTTGCCACATTGCTGGCAGTATCTCTGGTGTTGGCCGCGCACCCAGACGGACGTAGCATTGGCACAGGTGAGGCACACCCGGTGGCGCTGGTGGTAGCCCTTGAGAGCAGTGAGGTCTGCGTGACAGGCGGGGACCTGGCAGCGAGCACTAGAGAGCTTGGAACGCTTCTTGGACCTCTCCGCTTCCTCCTCGTCCTCCTCATCCGAGCACGCACACGGCACTCGGCCCGCCAGGAAGTTGGGGCAGCTCAGCCGCGGATCTCGCCGCCGCCGTTGCTGCTGCTCTTGTTGCTGTTGCTGCTGCTGCTGGTGGCTGTGGCCTGGCGCCTCCGCTCCCCCCTGCTCCGCCTCCTGGCCATGGCCGCCTCCCTTATCACTTGGATGTGCCAGCAACAAGACGCTGTCCCAGTCCCACAGGCTGCTGCTGCTGCTGTTGGGATCGTCGTCGTGGCCCATTCTATCACTCACCTCCTACCTAGGCTATGGGGCTGCTACTGCTCAATTCACCGCGGCGCGCCCCTTGCACATGCTCAAGAGCGTCCCATCCCGGGCGGCCGCGCGGCCCCACCGCCCAGGATTGACTGTTTATAACACAAACCCCCAGGGTTGAGGTAACCACCAGGTTGGGCTTGGGATGGGATCCAGTAACAAGCATGGGATCCTCCGCCCCCTCCTCCTCCTCCTCCCCCTCCTCGCCTGTGCCCTCGTGCTCTCCTACACCCAGGAGTGGCAGCAGCAGCAGCCATTGGATGTGGCGCCCCCGCCGCAATGCGACATCTCCGCGGGCAGCTGGGTGTATGACCGCTCCTACCCTCTCTACCGCGCCTCGGACTGCCCTCTTGTGGAGCAAGGCTTCAGGTGCCAGGACAACGGGCGGCCCGACAGCAGCTACACCAAGTGGAGATGGAAGCCGTCACAATGCCACATTCCCAGGTCTTGTCGGATCATTTCCCCACCTCTTTCTTCATCAATCCTTGTCTGCTCTGCGCAGCTTCCATGCGGCGCGTATGCTCCAGCTGCTGCGAGGCCGCCGGATCGCGTTCGTAGGCGACTCCATGGGCCGCACGCAATGGGAATCTCTCGTCTGCATGCTGCTCACCGCCGTCGCCGACAAGTCGTCCGTGTGGGAGGTGAACAACCGGACGATCACCAAGCGTGAGCCCTACCTGGCGTTCCACTTCGCCATGCACAAGGTGACCGTGGAGTACCACCGCTCCCCGTTCCTGGTCCAAGAGTCTCCGCCACCCAAGCACGCCCCCAGGAGAGTGCGCTCCATCCTGCGCCTCGACCAGCTGGAAGCGTCGCGCACACGCTGGGCGGACGCGGACGTGCTCGTCTTCAACTCTGGTCATTGGTGGAATCCTTCCAAGACGCGCCAAGTGTTTGTATCTTGCCCCACCCGTGTTGCTCGAGGATTCACGTTGGTCGCTGCGCAGGGGCTGCTACTTTTACGTGGGGAACACCCTGCGCCTCGGGATGAAGCTGGAGGCTGCTTATCAAGCAGCACTCAACACATGGGCTCGCTGGGTAGACAGCCTCGTCGACACCAACAAGACTCGCGTTCTCTTCCGGAGCCTCGAGCCTTCGCACTGGGAGTACGTATGTTAGTTGGTCTGTGTTTACTTGCTTACACACACGCCTTTGACTCATCAGCTGGCCGAGGAAGCGATGCTCCTTCCAGAGGCAACCAAATGCCAGCAGCCTCGCCGCCCCCAGCAGCATCCCGCAGCTCGCACTGAACCGGATCCTCCATCGAGTTGTCCAGGGCATGAACAAGAGCGTGGGAGTCCTCAACATCACCACATTGTCCCACTCCAGAAGCGATGCTCACGTTGGCCGCTGGAGCCCAGGACAGCCCCCTCTCGACTGTAGCCACTGGTGCCTCCCCGGCGTGCCAGACACATGGAACCAACTTCTCTACGCCACCCTGCTCAGCAACAAGAACAACAGAGTCGCTACCTCCTCAAACTGAACCCACTTGTTTATGCTCAAGGTTTATCGGATACGTCGACTACACACAAAAAAAGGCTCCCCCACCTAGCCTAGTTGATTGTGGCAAGCAGGTCCCCCACTTTGCAAAAGCAATGCTTTTCGCTTGTGCCAAAGTTGACCTGCAATTCCAACCATTAGTCGAGGCACAGGCACAAACCAAGCTCCCACCTCGTAAGCATTTATATCAGAGAACATCACCTGCCAAACAAAGTGTCAACTTTGAACCAAAACATAATTCTTGAGTACCTTCTGGCCCCTCTCAACAGATCCAGCATCCTTCCCTACGGATATCACCTGCACATATACCACCACCGTCAAAGAGCATCAAAGACCACTCACTGTGCACTTACCTCCCCAACGAGATAACGCTCAAACTTGACTGCATTCTTAGGAAGAAGCACTCCACCTTCAGATTTCTAGAGGAAGAAAAGACCGTCAGATTTCTAGAGAGGGGAAACAATTCTTGCTTATACCTCGGGAAGCTCTTCCAATCGAACGAGCACTCTGTCAGCCTGGGGAGATACCTGCATTTCCGGCCGAGTCAGGTGGAGACTAATCCGCTATTCCAGACCTTGGAGGTATCCACAGCAGCGGAGGCTCTAACGGAGGCGAGACGCGGCCTTCGGCGGGCCGGAACAGCAGCCACAGCTTTACTAGACGAGCCAGCGGTAGAAGGACAAGGTGCACAAGGGACTCGCAAAGGAACACCAATCATCGCCATCGCCATCGCCATCGCCGTAGGGTAGAATCTTTTCTCAACAAAACCCTATGTGTTCCTTCTGTTACAGATGTTTGAGATTACACTGTTTGTTTAGTGAAGGGCCGTGAGCTCTTTGGCAAAGCTGGGCCGTAGGCATTCTTCAGTCAGGGCTGCAGTGAGCATCTCTGCCGTGAAAGTATCATCGGGTTTCAAGCCCAGCGCCTGCAGCGCACAAGTGAGAAAACAGGCAAACAAGCATCTCACGAGGAAAACCTTGTGATAAAAGTCGATGGCGATACCAGTGCTTCCCTACGTTAGGAGGCAAAGCGTTAGAAGGGGCGTGGTGTCAAGAGCACAGAGAGAGGCACCTGAAGGTGATGGGTGAAGCCCAGCGCTGCATATGTCGTAGCTCCACGAGGGCAAAGAGCCAAGGCTTTCTCGTACATGGATATCGCCTCCGGATATAGTCTGGTGGCACACACTAGAGCTCGTCACGACGAGACCAAGAAGCACACGCTTACTTGAGTTTACGCAAGGTATGCGCCAGGTTGACAACAGTAGGCTCCCAACACAAGGTCAGGCTATTCCTCGTCTCTTGGACAAGAACCAAGGCCTTGCGTAGCCACCGAGCTGCTTCTTCGTACCTGCGGCAAACAAGACTTTTAAAACCCCCGCCAGTCCGCATCAAACAGTATGCCTACTCCCTGTTGCGGTAAGCCATGACACCGAGCTCGTTGTACACGAGAGGATCGGTTGGACAGATCCCTTTGGCCTGCATAAAGAACTGCGCAAACGAGAATGCTGACAAGGACGATGGCGATGATCATGCAAACCTGCTCGGCAAGGTTGAGGTTGTTTGTTCTTAGATACTCCATGCCGATGCACAAAGCGGGCATGTGGCAACTGCATTAACAGCATAAAACATTCAGAGCGCGCCAAGTTCCAACCTCCCCTTACCCGGAGAAGAGACGCGCAGCGGTTCTGTATGCCGCCATAGCCTGGTCACTTTCGTCCTGGGCTGCATACGCATTGCCAAAACCCAGCCATGCAGGATAAAATGCCCCGTCCAACGTCGTTGCCTTGCTGGTGTGGCCAGTCAGAAAACACTTGGGAGATGCCTACAATCAGGAGATGCCTACCAGAAGTAGCGACGGGCGTGATCAAATTGCCGGATGCAGTAGTAGTAGCATCCCACGGCGAACCAAGCAATGGGCCTGCAGCAAAGTTTTGAGTGAGGCATACAAACTTTGACAGGTGGTAAGTACCTTTGAGAATACTCTTGGACGAGATTGTGTGCTCTTAAAAACAGCTCGTTCTTGCGCCCAAGCTCTAGTGCGGCACCTAGATGTAACGGCATACACTTGAGATGGTAAGGATCCTTTTCGAGCAGCCTAGATGAAAGCGCCAAATGACATTAGACTGACAATGCGGGAGCTTACGTCTTTGTAATGTCGTAGCACAATTGAAACTCTCCTCGATGATAGAGGTAGTCTGCTCTGCATGCCAAGACGTCGTTGTTATCCTTCAACGACAGGCCCACGTTGCTGTGTTTCTGTGGTTCCCTTTCCAGTTCAGAAAGCTTGGACTCGAGCGCACTTATCTGCCCATATTTCTTGGCTTGACAAGAATAAAGCAGTGAGAGCCAGCGATCGTCTGCATCGAACTTGAGAGACGACAGGAAGGCTACTTCTGAAACGAGGAAATGCGTCAGAAAGTGAGAAGCATCCTAACCGGGTGGCAAGCAACCTTTCTCGCTGGAGAGCATGTGGTTGTCTACGATGTGCTCGTACGCCTAGAGCATGCTGGTCAGCACCTGGTTCCAAAACACGATTCTGCCTTACCTCGTAACAGTATGGGTCTACTCTAAGGGACGCCTTGTACCTGAACGTAAGATTAGTACTGTCAAGCAGCGAGCTGATTGCAAAAGTTACCAGCAGAGAGCTCTGGTCCTGTTTTCCAGAGCTTCGCATGCGCGCCCTCGCAGCAGGCACAGCGCGGCAGCGATCTGGGAAAAAAAAAAACGAGCGAGGACATGAGTTGCTAGTATACCAACACGAGGGGCCAACATTGATGCCTGCTTGGTGGCCCGACTCTGGATCAATGTCGTCCTTCATGGGGTAGTTTCCATGCTGGTCAACCTCGTAGTCGCCCAGTACCGAGAGGCACTCGTCCCATTCCTTGATCTCTTCCTGCCGGGTGAGAGTGCCAGAGTCAGCGAGCCAAACGAGTGTGAGACAAGAGACCAAACACTTTGCGGCGAGGTAGCGGTAGCGAGGGTGGAGGTGGAGGAGGCCGTGAGTGCGAAGCAGATGCAGCGCCCTTCTAAACTGTCTGCCCTGGAAGAGTGCCTGTGCGTGCAAATGCACATCCTCTTCCGTGCCTCCCACCGTCACCAGCTTGTCAGCCAGGAAGATGGCAGACGCATGAAGATGCTTGTCCAAGCAGTCCCTCACCATCGCCCGCAGCTTGTTCTCCATCGCGCTCCCTCACCTTAAACCCTAGGAAGGAAGCGAGAGAGAGAGAGAGAGAGAGAGAGAGTGAGGCAGGAGGAAGCACTCAAGTTAAAATTCCCGGTCCACAACACATGGAGAGATCACAGCAGGTACTTGCGCGCAAGTGCTCGCACCCTGGTGTCGAACTGAGCGGACGTGATCCGGGATCCAGGCACGTAGAGCGGGTTGAGAAGGATCTGCGCAAACCAAAAACAAGAGGAAAGAAACTTGGCGACAGAGGCGTTGGAAGCGGCACCTTGATGTAGAGCTCGTGCACTTCCTGGAAGAAGCTTTTGATGCTGTCCTCGCTGCGGGAGTCGTGCAGCAGCATGAGCCGCGTGCGTGCGGAGGGAGAGGAGAGTCAAGGGGCATATCATCAAAGGCGAGGCTGTCTAAAGGATATGGCCAGCAGTCATGTAGACCGAGACGAGGAGCTCGTTGAATTTGTCCACTCCTTTCATGAACCTGGCCCGTTCATGGTGTGTGTTCATGAACAATCAGCAACCAAGATGTGTGCGATGGCGGGGGGGGGGGGACTTACATGGAGTTGACGGTCCATGCCACATCCTCCACCACGTCCAGCGCCGCGTGCAGCACGAACTGATGCTGGTGCATCGCCTCGTCCCTCTGTCAATACCCAAGCAAGCACGCTTCCATTTCCCAGCCATTTGCGCCTTGTGTACCTTGGGGGCATTTCCCAGCTCCGTCTCGTAGATGGGACTGTTGTTGCGACCCACGATGACGAAGCAGGCGGTCGTTGCCATTTGGATCCGCCACAAAAGCCCAGCAAAGCGAGCCCTAGCGATCGAGTCTACAAATCATATGTCCGAGGCGTAATAGTGTGTGGACGTATCCTCCTCGCCTCCCAGCTGCGGTCGCCCGTGGCTGCTGGCCGACACGCTCTTTCGCACGCTTTGCCTCCTCTCGTCGCCTCCAGCCTTCTTGCCCAAGTAGTGATCAAACCGGAAAATCTCCTGCGAGTGGATCACCTTGAGCTCCCGCACCACGTTCTTATGCCTCTGCACCCATCGTCATCAGCACTATCATCATCAGCGTCGCCGGAGCACGCACGCACCTGGTGGCATCGCTCCAGGTCCTGCTCTCTGTTTCGCTGGAGATCGTCCCGAGCTTGCGCTGCTCGCTGGAGCAAAACCTCGAGCTCAACGTGCTGCTTGGACCGCAACGCGTTCTCTTTGGCGCCTACTTCGTTCTGAAACGATTGCAGCGTCGCCTGCAGCTCTGCCTGCTCCATCTGGTCGGCCTGCCGCTTCAGCTCCTGCGCGTCGATGTACTTGCCTTGCTTACCCAGGCATTCCTGCATCGGATATATTGGTACTTCAGATGGACGTGCCTTGGGTTCGAGGCAAATCCACGATACCTGGACCTTGCGCAGCCGTAGGAGCTCGCCGGACCACTGGGGCTTGGAGGGCGTCTTGGCATTCAGTTTGGTCCTCAAAGCTTGCAATGCAGCCGTGTGTTGGCGCTTCAGCTGGCCAGCATGTTCCATCACCTCACGGTGGAAGTTTTTAAGCTTGTCGTCCCAGAGCTGAGAGCAAGGGAGCAAGGTTCCAACGTTAACCTCCGGTAAGTTATCCACGTACCCGGTTCCTTTCTTCGAGCTCTCTCACGTACGCCTTCTTGGCCATCTCCCGTTCCCGCAGGTGCCTGTCAAGCATTGTCGCCCGCCGTTTCTCGTCTTCGACCATCTAGAGCAACGAGCAAAGCGTTGGCTTGGCTCATCGTAAAGGTAAAAGAGGACCCCTGGACAACCTTAAGCTTTTGCAGCTTTGCGACCGCAGCATTAGCTTCCAGATAGTGGCCTTTCTTCTCGCATGTCCTCCTGAGCTCGTCCAGCTCCTTGATGGTGTCAACAACCTACACTGAGCACCACAACTTCAGTACCGTGCACCACCGCCGACACCCCACTGTACATACGAGGGGGATGTTGAGAGTGGAACCTTGGGATCCAGTGCCGGATACGTCTCCTCAAGATTCGCTCTCCTACTCGGGCTTTTCTGGAGCGTTCTAAACACGTTTGGGGAGGAGCAAGTGCTCATGTTGACCGATCGCCTGCAAAGGCAATGTAGCTCAAGCCACAGTTGATACAAGACATGTGTGCGTACGCACCTCGAGTTGAGGAAAGAAGGATAACTCTCAAGCCGAGGCTGCAAAGCGAGGATGCATCAGTGTCCATTGCCAATTCAATGTGAAGGAAAGTTACCCCGCTCGGGCCTGGGCTTGTGGGTTGCCTGGAGCTTGCCCTGTTGATGCTGCGGCTGCGGCTCCAGGGCGGGGCAAGCAACTCTTCGCCACTCTCCTCGAGGCTCTTCTTCCTGGGCCTGTCCTCCACGGGCACCAGCACCGCCGGCGTGGGCATGCTGAACGCGATGGTAGTGGAGTCATCGGGTGGCTCAGGCGACGGGGGCGGCGACAGCGCCGCAATCTCTTGAACATCGGCCGCGGCGTAGTCGATGTCCGACTCCACGGTCAGGGCTGGACTGTAAGGAGCGCCCTCTTCCTGCTGCTCCTCCCCCTCCTCCTCTTCAGCGGCAGGGGGCGGCGGCAGCGGGTCAGCAGCAGCAGCCATGGCGCTCTACATGTGAATGCATTCCAGGGGATTGGGTTGCGAGCGTGAGAGAGAGAGAGAGAGTGAGGTGGCGCGTGAAGCCTGCGACAGTTTCTCACCTTCGCCGCGGGAAAAAAACCTTGCCCTAACGTACGTTTTAGGGCGCGCGATGAGGTCAGCGAGGAAGAGGAAGAAGGAGGACGAGGACGAGGACGAGGATGCGGAGGAGGCGGCGGCGGAGAAGCGGGCGGCGCGGTTCGTGAGCATACCCTCAAAGCAGGTACAGGAGCGGATGGACCGGGCGGTAGAGCACCGCTTGTATCTCATCGACAAGGACATCGAGACCGACTGCAGCCGCGGCAGTTTCGTCATCCTGGGTGCCACCGGGAATGTGTACAATGTGACGCTGGACAAGAATCCAAGCTGCGACTGCCCAGACTTTGGCCGCTGCTACACTTGCAAGCACATCCTGTTTGTGCTGCTACGAGTTGTCAAGCTCCCGCGCACCGACCACCGCTTGTGGCAGAAGGCGCTCCTCTCCTCGGAGGTCAAGGAGCTGCTGCAGATGTGCGCGTCCAACGGCGAGGAGGCGGTGCTAGCCAGCCAGCGGGTGCGCCAGCGCTTCAAACAGATCCACGGCAAGGACAAGGACGAGGATGGACAGACGGAGGCCAAGAGCATCCAGAGGAGCATTGAAGGGGACTGCCCCATATGCTACGAGGCCATGGCAAGCGCAGATGGTACCCCCGCCGAAGAGCTTGTCTTTTGCAAGTCATGCGGGAACAACGTTCACAAGGACTGCTTTGACCGCTGGAGCCGCAGCAAGTCCTCGTCCTATTCCAAGGTCACTTGCATCTACTGCAGGGCGGTGTGGGAGCACAAATGCGGTGCCACAGCCGACGCTAGCTCCTCCGGCTATGTCAACCTGGCGTCCTACTCGGAGGATCACAACGAAGCCAACACCAGCCTCGAGGCCCTCTACCCCGACTGCTACGAGTGGATCGCAAGACGATGAAGATAAGGTGGTTTCCAATTTCTAGCTCTGCTCAATCCACACCCGCGGGTTGAAGTGTACAGGAGTTCCACGTAGGCTGCACAAGCTTGCCACCTTCTTCACCGCTGACAAAATGTGACTCTTCTTTTCTTTCACCAATTCCTTCAACGCTTCCTCCCTCTGAGACGCATCCACTTCCCCATCCTGCGCTTCGTCACCCCCATCCCTTTGCCTGAACTTCATCATCACGAACGTCTTGCTGCTGTCGTACTTGTTCTCAGTGTCAACAACGTGCTTGAGCTTTGGCTGCTGGCTTTCCTTGCTCTCGAAGAGCTCTGCGGACAGCCGCTTCGACAGGAGCTCCGTAAATGCCTTCTCGTCGCCGGGATCCAGATGCACAAGGATCATCACTTCCCAGCATCTCTTGAACTGAACTTTGCTGATCTTCAACTCCCGCCGCACCACACAAGCCAGGTTGGAGGGGGGCAGGAGCTCCTCCGACCCCGTTTTGCCTTCCTTTATCCGTTGGACAGCAAGTCTCACCTGGGATAGCACAGGCGTGGAGTCCAGCAGCCGCATCACGTCCATGCAATCACGCAGGAGCTGCAGCTTATCGGATGGATCCTCCATTGTCACGTCGAAGGAGTTCCTGCGCATGGCGATGTCGTTGACGGCATTCACCAGATGGTAGCCGTGCTGTTTGTTCTGGTAAGGTGGGAGCACCAATATCTGGAAAAGGAGAGCGGGGTTGAAAAGATGCGTCAGAGAACGCTCCAAACTTACTTGACTGATGCGGAGCCTCGAACTGTCTGGGTAGTGAAAGAAACGGTAAACGTTACAGAAGCCGGTCACCTTGTGTACGTCCCTTGTCGTTTCAACAGCCACATAAACTTCCCAGCGTGGGTCATCCACTTCGATGCAGCTTGCACCTGTCGCTCAGTCTCATCAATCCTCTCTACCTGAGAATACGACCTCACAAACCTTCCACAAACCATAGTACAAGTGGATTCAGCCTTTGATGCCAGACTCGTGACTCCGAGCTCGCTAGCTCGAGGCGGAAAACCTGAAAGCTCCCGTGATTGCAAAAGCAGTGGTTTAGGATGCACCAACCTGGTTTCGAGTGAAACTATCGGCCGGTGCTTGCCACGAGGCTATGTGTTCCGCATATTTCGATAAGAGATCACTGTGTAGTGAATGATAAGAGCAGCAAACCCCTGGTGTTCCACAAACCTGAACTGCGAGCTGAATGAGGAAAGTTGCTTGGAAAATATATCTCGGTTCTCGACTAAGCCATCGCCAAAAACGTCCTGCAGGCCCCACAATGTGAAAGACGAAACCTTACAACTCGAAAATAAACCTTCAAGACATCTTCCAATTTCTCGCGAGACTTGGGAACCTGGAGACACTACTTGGTTAGATTCTTTGAGCTCCACAAAGAAGACCTTCTACAACTTACAGGAACGATCGAGTCGTACTTGATATCCGCATAGGCATGGAAGGAGGAGCTGTGCAACCAGATATCGACCTGAGAGAAAGAGATTATTCCCGTATTTGTGGTGATCCTGGCCAAACCTTGAGTCCTTTGTAGCCGTAGATTTTGCCGCTCTCGCCGAAGTGCTCTTCCAGAAATGTGGGGCAGAAGCCTAGATTGCTGTCTTGGAAGTCATCGATGGAGCTGACTGTGAGGAGGACAAGCGGCAATGAGAAGACGAAGCGAGAAAGGAAACGGCATTTATACCGAGGTGTAGTTTGATGGCGTCTTTGGCCAGGCAAAACTCCGCATTTCGATCTGCAAGGGGACAAGTGACTCCCGACCGTGGCGAGTGAGGAAAACACACCTGCGGCGCTAGAGAAGGCCACTTTCCGCCGCTTGCTGCTGCTCTCGTCCCCCATGGCAAGAACTAGGGTTTAAGGGAGGAGCTGCCCTAATTTCCTAATTTAGTGGATTAAATCTATAGCATTTTTACGTCTTAATCTTTCTTCCTGCCTCTAGCTGACTTCTTGCCACTCCTCCGCCTCGCTTTGCCATTGCCCCCCAGAATGCCGCTGGTGATTGAGTAGCCCGCCACTGCAACCATGGTTCCAGCCACGGCAAGCGCCATGGGATGGCTCCCCAAGAACTGGATGACAAGCCCGTCAAAGAAATGCAAGCATAACCACAGGGGCACACCTGCAACGCCTGGGAGTATTTGTGCTGGAACGCTTCCATGAGATCGCCTCCGAGCGCAGCTTCCGGCGGCACCTCCTCCGCTCTCGTTTCCTTCCATCCTTGCTGCAAGCAGCAGCAACGCAAACGGTTTCCAAGGAGAAACGAAAACTACCACAAACCTTGACAAACTCCGAGATGGTTTCGGCGGTCCAGTCGCCCGAGTAGTCAAACATGCGCCTGTCGTGGAACAGCTTGAGCTGTGGCGGGTTCGTGATGGAAAAGCGCTTGCGTGTCTTGGGACTCTTGGCTACATCCACCTTTGGGAGAGGACGCGACTCGTCTCACGAAACCAACGAAGTTCAACTTACCTTGGCAAAGAGGGGGTGCCCGTCCCTCGTCTCTTCGAGAAGCTTGCGAAGAGCGAGCTCGGCATCTTTGCCCTCCTCGAAATCCGGATCAGTGAAGAGCACCAGCCTGCACAAGCACGCCCACACTGCCAAAGGGTTGCTTCCCTGTGCATTTTCTTACCACGATCCAGTCGTCTGCCCGGTTGCTGCTTGTGTGTCGTGCTCGAAATTCCTGTCGCTGAGGTACAAGAGGTGCGGCCCTTCCACGGCGTCGTCACCAGCGGCAGCGCAAGCGCCCGCCGCCACGAACACCAGTAGCAGCAGCAGCAGCAGCAGCACAGGGCGCTCCATGTCTGGATCAAACAATCAAGAAACGCAAACCCGAGTCGCTTCTCCTTCTGAATATATGAAGAAAAGAGTTTTGTTTGGTGTTTTCTTCACACAGGAAAACTGCCCGTCAGCTTTATGTGCTCGAGCGTTCTCGACAGGCCAAACTGCACCACCGACTGATGCCCTGCTCTGAACCCATCGCCATATGCCGGTGACGAGTCCATGGCAATCTGGTGGAGAAAGAATTCCTGGAAACGATCGTTGTTGATCGACTTTGGCTTCTGCTTGCCACCTGACGAGCTGCTGCTGCTGCCGCCGCTACTGCCGATCTGCGACTCGAGCCAAGTGTGTGCCATCACTTGACAAATGCCCTCCTCCACCGCTGGATTCAACTGGTGCGGATAGCCTTCAACAGAGAGAAGCAAATATGTGTCGAGCCAAGTTCTAGCAACACAAGTTCAGGGAGCTCACCGTTGAGCCGGAGCCAGGCATGCATGAGCTCGTGAGCCAGGATGGAGCCAGTGAGCAGACTGCAAACATGATCAGAGTCTTTCGTGGCGAGAACTGAAATGTTTCCCCTCACCGTGGAAGGCCGTACAGAACAAGGATAGCGGTGACTTCGCACTGGCGTCGGAGCCTGAGTGATTCCTTGCGCATACTGCCCACTGGATTGCTACGTGAAGCCTTTGGCTTTCTGTACACCTGAAGCGCTGCACCATCAGAAACTTTCCAGAGGTTGGAGGTTTCGGACTTACTTACAGTGCTAACAGTCTGCTCCTCCGACAGGCAGAGGCCCCTTGTTTCTGGCAAGTGGTGGTAGCCCTGTGCGCAAGCAACAGAATGAATGCCTGCCTATATACACAGGACGAGCATACAAAAACTTACGTCTCGTTCGTGCTCACGAGCTTCGTTGAGTGCTTGTCGCTCCACCAGAAGCATCGGTATCGACTGCGAGATCTTCATGTTCATTCCTTCGTAGAAATCCAGAATTTCGTGGTAGAGATGCTGGCACTCGTGCGTATCCATGACTGCCGAATCTAAGCATTCTAGGCACAGCTTCCGTCCATCGTCCAGGCTCACAAACCGTGCGTCTCGGGCCTGCATGTATGTCACCCCGGCCGTCAAGCAGTCGACAAGGCAGTAAAAACGGGCCTTACCTCCACTCGCTCACAACTGCAACATCGAGGGGTGGAGTCCTTTTCATGCAAGGGGCAATACTTTTGTCCCCAGAAAGGATGTGCGCGGTACTCTATCAGGCCAGAGGAATTCGGTGGAATCTGAATGACTGGAAGTAAATACCATCCGCATATAAAGCTCAACAAAACATACAAACTGGTGGCAGACTTCACACTTGGGATGATACAAATCCCTGTAACACTCCTTGTGGTAGCGGTCACTCCCGGACAAGGCAAACTGCAAGAAACACACGAGGAGCGTGGGTGGAGGGTCATCAAAGTCGAGAAACCTGTGAACCCGATATGGGATCTCCGCATGCTTTGCAGCGGAAGCACTGTGGATGCCACACAGAACCGAGACAACTGAGGAAGCGCCCCGGTCCGATCTCCTGGTTGCACCCAGCACATATATATCTGTGCATCAAGGGAGTTGAAGACTACACACATAAACTGGATGGGCTGCCAACCTTTGTTTGCTCGGGCTGGGAGCACTCCTGCTTCTGCTTTGGCTGTCCAAGTCCATGCTCTCTTGCACGGCTCTCGCAAGCTCCTCCTCGTAGCTCGATCCAAACGGGCCAAATCTTTCTGCAGTGTGGACATTAGAGTGCGAACGCAGGCCACACGGAGTTCTACCGTAGTCATTATTGTCTGGCGCAGGAGTGCGACGGTGGTCGTCATCAGTCAGCGCATTCCTGCGTCCATCCTGCGGGGAATGCAAAACAGATTACGGCTCCAAGAGCGAGGGCGATGGATGGGCAAGGGGAACAACATGCAGGCGCTCGCATTCTTATGTTGCGTGAGGGGCGACGAGGAGAAAGAAACAGAGGAGGAATACCTTAAACATTGACGAGAGGAGGGAACGCAAGCGCGAGCGCAGAGACGACAAACCCCCGCTGCTGCTGGGCTGCCGGGTCCTGCTCCTGGGCTGGCGTTTGTCACGCACAGCCGGACAAACGAGATCGACACAACCCAAGGCACAGATATATGGATTGCATTGCAAAGCGCCTGGATGACTTACCTGGAGGAAGATTTCGTCGATGGGATTGAGGATCGACATGGACTGCCCCATTTTGCAGCTTGGTGCGCCGCCGCTGCTGCTCGTCTCCTTGTCCTCGTTGCCCCTTGGCCGCGGTTTGTCCAGTATGAAGGGCGGAGCATCTCAAGAGGCGCATCATCTTGGGATCCTCTTGAAGCGAGAGTAAGACATCCCTCTTCCTTCACTCCTCTTCTATTCACTCACACATCCATGACGCGCACACCCTCTCTCCCAGCAATGACCAAGCCAAAACAAACACATTTGATCTAGGCTAAGCCACCTATATTTTCCTTTTTTTCTTTTCTTTGTTTGCGATGTATCCATCTATCCATCCCTCTGATAAGTTATACTTAAATCCCTCCGGCCCACGTAGTACGGCTCGGATCACTTGACCTCGCCCTTGTCCTCCTGCTTTGCCAAAGCGGAGAAACGTCAAAAGATAACAATCGGCATGCACGCTTGCTCGGAATTCTTACAAGCGCCGAGCGAGGGGCAGTAGGCGGAGGCTGCGACGAGGAGAGCGCAGCCATGGCTTTCTCTTGAGTGTCACTCGACTGGAATGCATCCTCCACAGCCCCCTGTTTCAGCCATCTCTCTCTCGCTCGCATTTGGAAAAACTAAACCAGAAAATCAAAACACCACCTTGACGTTTTGCATCTCCTGTGCATTCAGTGTCCGCGGCTCCGTGCCGATTGAGGACTGCCGCCCCTCCTCCTCGCTCGTCCCCTTCCTCTCGGCCATTTGCCACTGTCGTGCTAATCCCACTCCACCGCTCTGCTTATCAAGGTTGCTAGACGCGTGGCCAAAGAAGATATATAAACTTGTTTTTCCCAATCAGTACAAAAGCCAACGGCGCTCTCCACGCGTGTTGGCTGGCCGTGTCGATCGATCAATCGTCTATACAAGAACAAGAACAGAGTGGAGAATGAAAAATTTTCCTTCAGCGGTATGCACAGTTTCAAGTAAGGTGGAGTTGTGTTGTTGCTGTTGCCGAATAGTGTTGCGCGGATGTTATGTCGCGAGCCAAGGCTGAGATAGACTACAGGCGGGTGTGGATGCGCTTGGCCCCTCGTTTCCATGCACAGCCTTGTGAAGCAGCGCGTACTGCTCCCTCACTGATTCCCACACACTTTGGTGAGCATCCTCCTGCAAAGGCACAAAAGCCAACGCGTTTGTTCCTTGTCCCAGGAAAAGCAAGGCTCACCTGTCCAAAATTGACTTCGGAACCAACGGAGAGGCCGACCCCGTGATATCCTACGAGACGTCTCTCTCCGATCGCCTTTTGGACCTGTGCATGGCAATGAAATGAGTCCATCGCCCGGACAAACCAGCTCTCTCACCTTGGGCGGAGGCGGCATGATGTTGTAGCTGAGTAGAGCCATCGGATACATGTGTCCTGGAACGTCACCGCGCTCAACCAGCCGCCTCATGTTGTCCACGGCCGCCGGGTCGAAAACTGCCTGGAAGTGCGCATGTCACCCAGTCACTAGCCACCACAGAAACAATACAAGCTTACTGGAGTCCATTCGTTGGTGACGGGATCGGGGCGATCACGGCCGCCACTAGGCGCAATCCATATTAGCTGCTTCCCGCTCCTACCAATGCTGGCAATCTGAGAAACGTTGCAAGTTAAGAGGCAGGACAGAGAAACCACCTGAGAAGGACGGCCAGCTCCTTGAGAGCCCGTGTGTTTGCACGTCGCTTCATCTCCACAAGCTCAGGGTCGTCGTTGATATGCTTCTTCGAATGAACGCAGATAAGATTCCTGGCGGCAAAACACCGGCACCAGTGTCAACGAAGAAGAGAAAGAGATCGAACCTTCCCATGCTGAAGGGCTTACAAAACGGGTCCAAGATGACCCTGTCCCCGGCTATGTACGTCTGTCACCGTTGACAGTCACTTGGTCAGTAGAGCATATAGTCTTGCAAGCTGCGAAGCTCACATCCAGGAAGCAATACCATTCTCTCCGCAAGATAAGGATGCGAGCCCTCCAGAAGCAATGCGATGATTGCAGGATCGGCTTCCGTTTGATGGTTCGAGAAAAGAACCACGTTGTGCCCCTGCATTGATGGAGTCGAGAGAAAGATTATAGAGTTGATTGGAAAACAAGCAAGGAAAAAGAATGATACCTGTTGCACTTGGTTTTCGATGGCATCCCAGTGCTCCTTGTTACCGAGATATGATTTACTGCTCAGAGACAAGCGGTTTTACGAATTTTCTCTGTTGCCAACGCCAGCACCACCTTACCCGAAGTGAAGCAAGGGACGGATGTACTCCTGGCCAAACTTGTAGTAATCAAAAGGCTCCCTCATGCTTTGATGGTATGGAGGGAATGTGAAGGGATCCTGCAAGTGCGCACAACCTTATCCATGTTATAAAAGGCAAGCGAGCTAGGAACAAGTTCACCCGTAGCTACCTCGAATTGCAACAGGATTCGGTCAAGAACAGTTGCCATGATCGGTACCACCGATTTGTGTGCCGTCTCGGACTCGCTGTGTAGCACCTGACAAAGAGAAGCATGAACTTGGAGGATATAACTCGAGTGTTCTTACCGCATCCCGGTAGTTTGCGTAAAAGTCCTTCATGCCCTCCCCGGCATGAGGAGGCAGCCTTCCCGCCGCCACTTCCTTGTCGATGCCAAGCAGCAATTCTGCGACCAAGGATAGGGTTTGAGAGTGGCAACAGTGAGCCAGCCAGCCAGTCGAAGTTCACCTTGTTCCGAGCCAACGCCCTGGAAGACGGACGAGTGCTCGTGCTGCTCCTCGTGGCACGAGGACGCCGCCGAGTGGTCATTGGTGGTGGCGGCAGCAGCAGCGGCGGCGGCAGCGGTGGTGGCAACGTCGTCTACTGCCCATTGCGCCGCGGCAGCCTCCACCATCTCGGCAATGGCGCCCCTCCCTCGACGCCGGGGCGACGGCCGCTCCTCCATGATGCTCCACGAAACTCGGCTGCTAACTCCGCCGCGCACACGTGGAAGCGCCACGCCACAGATTCGCGGAACTGGGAAGCACGACAGCGGCACACTGACGCTCACCCCTCCTCCGCTCCTCCCAGCCGCCATAAACCAAACCAAACCCAACCCAACCCAACCCTCTTGCGCGCGCGCTCGGGAAAGAGATTGCGTGTGTGCTCTTGCCTTCTTCCTTGCCTACCACTACCTAAACATGCCACCCCTGGTGGACTAGCCTATGCACCTTTACTAAACGCATTCATTCCAAACATCCAATATGTACACACGCAGCTAGACGATAGACACAAACACACAGGCCAACACACATCTTCTAGGACCTCCTGCTGCTGTACGTGATACCATATCCAAGCGCAGCCACCACGAACACCCACGCAGTGAGCAGCGCCGCCGCCGCCGCCAGCAGCAGCAGCGCCGAGAAATTCATCTCTGGTGCCTGCGAATTCGGCGACAGCGTAAAAGCACGTAATCCCAGCTGCTTGCTGGCCAGAGTTATCGCCTGTAGCACAGCAGACTGCTTGTAACACAGGTTTCGGTCTGCACGCATCAGAGCATACTCGACCATGTCCAGCGTCGTCATGTCCGCAACCAAGTCTTGGTCGCGCTTTTCCATGTATCTGCCGGTGTAGCCTGCCATGTTAGGCACCAGGTCAGGATAATAGGATAAGGAAAGGGCCCTACAATAAAGTGATCACCCCTTTAGCCAGTTGGCTTAGGGTGTAAGGGATAGGATCCTAACATTGGTATCAGAGAATTGGTTGCGATGGCCGACCAAGCTGAACGCTGGAATCCTATCATCGATGGTGGTGCCGACGGTGGTGCCGACGATGGTGTCAACGAAGCTGCGGAGATTTGGACCATTCAAGATGTGGTTCATGAGCTGCGAGCCCTTAATAAAAATCAGCAAGAGATGCAAGACGAGATGCATGGCATGATGGATACCATGCGTGGGCGTGTTGAGGCACTCGAGGCTGGACGGGGTAGCGCTCCAAGTAAGCCTTCTTTGGTAGATCGACTCAAGATTCCAACCTTTTCCGGTGATGGTGGTGTGGACGAGTGTCTCGCTTGGCTAGCCAATGTGAAGAAGTTCTTGGCTGCTAGAGGAACTCCAGATGCAGAGGCTTTAGTGGCTATTCCGATGGTTTTGCGTGATGCGGGTCTTCGATGGTGGAATTGGCTTGAGGAGTCCCGTGTTGCGGATAAGAAACCACCAGTGTCTACCATGGATGAGTTTGAGGCTGCTTTCCGTTTACGTTTTGCCCCTCATTACGACGTGGAGAATGCTCGTACAGAACTTCGCCATTTTCAGCAAGGGAAAATGACGCTCGGGGATTATATTGAGAAGCTTACTCGCTTGATTAGTCGTGTTCCAACGAAGGATCCAGATCAGAACAAATCCTACTTCATTGATGGCCTCCATAGTGAGAGTATGCGGCAACACTTGCGTCATTCTCAGCCTACAAAGAGTTTGGAGGAGCTCTTTGATGCGGCTCGTCGCCTTGACAATGACAAGCACAAGTCTCGCAAGCGTTCGCGGAGTCCTTCTGTCGAGAATCGTCGTGATGATCGCCGTGGACACAAGGATGGGAACAAGCATCACAAGTTGAAGTCGGTGGTGACTACTTCAGATGCAAAGGGGTCCAAGAAGCAGAAGTTCTTTGTGAAGAATTATAGACAGGGTTGTCATCATTGCGGCGAACTTGGACACTACAAGGCTGATTGTCCGCAGTTGAAGAACAAGCAGCAGGACAAGAAGAATGGCCAATCATCTTCTCACGGTAAGTCAGATACTAAAAAGTTGCAAGCTTTACAGCGTGAGGATGACGAGAACGACCATTCCGGTCGGAGGAAGAGACTTTCGATCGTTGCTCGTCAACTCAACTGTGTGTGGAACAAGATGGAGCTTGAGGATACGCGTGAATCAGCTTTAATGCTGGAGGGCGTGTTCCGTGGCGATCCAGTGCGGATTTTACTGGATAGTGGGAGCGATGACAACTTTGTTTCGGCAAAGTTTGTTGCGGAGCATCGCCTGAACACACGTGGAGTTGTTCCATACACAGTGGAAGGTGCAGCTACCTCTGCTCAGCATTTCGATGCTTGTGTCGAGGGGCTGGAAGTGTTGGTTGGCAAAACCACACTTGTGGAGACTTTTTATCTCGCGGATATCCATCGTGTGGATCTCATTCTTGGGATGCCATGGTTGGTGAAGGTGGATCCCGAGATAAAGTGGAGCATTAAGCGTATCTCGCTGGAGTATGGTGGCGTTAAAGATGTGTGGTTTGGCGAGGGCGTTCAACCACCAGTTGTTATGCTCTCTGCTACATCTTTGAAGCGGGCTTGTCGTAATGGAAAAGCACTTTCAAGTTACTTGCTGTTTGTTCGTGACTTGGGGGACCAAGGCACGTGTGGGGGAGAAGCAGCAGTACGGGATGTACTTGATGAGTTTTCTGATGTTTTTCCATCTGAACTTCCTCATGGATTGCCTCCATTACGAGGTGTGGAGCATGGGATTACATTGGAGCCGGGGACGCGGCCAATTTACCGGCGTCCATTTCGGTTAAGTTATGCGGAGGAGCAAGAAGTTCAACGACAAGTCAAGGAGTTACTTGAGTTTGGATTTATTCAGCCAAGTAAGTCTCCGTTTGGTGCTCCGGTCTTGCTTGTGAAGAAGAAGGACGGTTCAATGCGGATGTGTATTGACTACCGTGCTTTAAACAAGAAGACAGTGAAGGACAAGATGCCGATGCCACGTGTGGATGATATCCTAGACAAGCTTGGTGAAGCACGAGTGTTTACCAAGATTGATCTGAGGAGTGGATATCATCAGATTGCAATGGATGATGCATCTATCTCCAAGACGGCATTCAACACAAGCTTCGGACATTTTGAGTTTACCGTTATGCCGTTTGGTTTGACGAATGCACCGGCCACATTTACTCGGTTGATGACGGAGGTATTTGGGCGTTATCTTCATGAGTTTGTGGAGATTTTCTTGGATGATATTCTTGTTTTTAGCAAGAATATGGAGGAGCATAGGGTGCATTTGCGCAAGGTTCTTTTGTTACTTCGAGACAGCAAACTTTATGCGAAGAAGAGCAAATGTGAATTTGCAAAGTCGGAGGTGGAATATCTAGGCCATATTGTGACATCTAAGGGTGTCAAGACGGATCCAAGGAAGGTGGCTGTGGTGGAAAACTGGCCTACACCGACTACAGTGGCCGAGTTGCACAGTTTTCTTGGTATGGCTAGTTACTATCGACGTTTCCAGCATAAGTTTGCAGAGGTGGCTATTCCGTTGACGCGGTTGTTACGCAAGAATGTGCCATTCGAGTGGAAGACGCCACAAGAGGAGAGTTTTGTGGCGCTGAAACGATTGTTGATCGAGGCTCCAGTGCTTCGCATTGCTGATCCATCGAAACCTTACGAGGTGACATGCGATGCGAGTGGTTATGCACTGGGAGGAGTTCTCATGCAAGAGGGACAGCCTATTGCATATGAGAGTCGAACTTTGAATTCCGCAGAGCAACGCTATTCCACATATGAGCAAGAGTTACTCTCTATTGTTCATGCTTTGCGGACGTGGCGGCACTATCTTTATGGTGCAGTGTTCGTGGTGTTGACAGATCACAAACCACTTGTGTATCTTTTCACACAGAAGGAGTTGAACACTAGGCAAGCTCGTTGGATGGTCAAACTCATGGAGTTTGGGGAGTTTCCTATTGAGCATCGTCCGGGAAAATCAAATGTGGTGGCGGATGCTTTATCTCGTGTTCGTCATGTGATGACGTTACGAACACGATTTTGTCATCATTTGAGTAAGGTGGTCAGCGAGTTTGGGCAGTTGGTTGAGCATGCTCAGGCTCAGGATGCTGAGGTGGCCTCTTTGCGAGACCAGATGGAAGCTCCTTTCTCATTGGTGGATGGGATTCTCTACTACAATGGCCGTGTCTATTTGCCACGGGTGGATGCGTTAATTACTCAAGTTTTATTCCACTATCATGATCGTCCAGAGGCCGGTCATTTTGGGGGGAAGAAGACGTATGAGTTGATTAAGCGCAACTTTTATTGGAGGAATATGAAGGCTGATATCCTCAAGTATTGTAAATCATGCGAGCTTTGTCAGCGGGTTAAGGTGCCACGGGAGAAGCCGGGGGGACTTTTGCAACCTTTACCTATTCCTCAGAGCCGTTGGTGTAGTATCTCTATGGACTTCATCACTTGTTTGCCACGAACACAGAGGCAAAAGGAGCAAGTATGGGTCATAGTGGATCGGTTGACGAAGTATGTGCGGTTGTTGGCTCTTCGGAAGACTGTCACTGCCTCAGACTTGGCTGCGGTTTACTTGGAGAAGGAGTTGAACACTATCCCTTACACCCTAAGCCAACTGGCTAAAGGGGTGATCACTTGATTGTAGGGCCCTTTCCTTATCCTATTATCCTGACCTGGTGCTTAACATGCCAACACATCAGGTCAGCAAGCTCACAGAACCTTTTTCAGGAGAGCACCTGGTATGTCAAATATCTGGTTTGCGGCAGAGACGCCCAGAATCTCCCCGAGATGAAACCGTGCAGCGATTCGGTCCTCGACGGACAGCTCGTCACCGTGAGTCATTACCACGACAGGTCTATCGTCTGCGCAGCTCGAGAGACGAGAGAATGAGCACTCCTTCCTCCTATAACATCGTCAAGTACCTTTGAATGTGAGGAAAGAACTCTTGTAGATCTTGGCAAGAGGAGAGCGGTGCGTTGCTCCCGCCCCCGCCCTTCTCTCTCTGTGGACGGCCACAGCGCTCACCACAAAGATGACAAAGTGAACTTGCCTGGTAGCGCTGTGCAAGTGATGGCCGTGCCGGGCTCTCACGAACAGCGAATCAACGTCAGGGCCCGCGGACCTGCATGTCTCATGCATGAGACCAAAACGTCGCTCTTCTTCTCTACCTCTGCACGATCCCTCCATGCTTGACGCCGTTCTTCATCCAATCGCGCACCATGCTCAGGTCCTCGTCGGTGTCCACCTCCGAGAAACCCCGAGTGTCAAAGACGCAGATGTTCTTCACCGCGTTGCACAGCATGTACTCCCTGAGGAAGAGAGTTCCATTCTCGCTCGGATCGCCTGGCACACAGTCAGACACGAGTTCTAGCTGCTGCTGCTGCTGGATCACTCACCGCACACTTGAGCTCTGTCGAAGCCCGCATTCATGTCGTTGACCACCCTGATCATGTTGTTGATGAGTGTGCTCTTTCCCGCACCCATCGGCCCAACCACGAGAAGCGTCGTCACCTCTGGCACCGCGAAGCTCTTGGCCTCGAAGCCCCCAGTCTCGGCAATCCATCTCCCCGGCCGATAGCTGCAATCAATCACGGTGAGCGTGTGCGCAAGCTATGGATGGTATCACGGTACCTTTGGATGCTCTCCCTGCGCTCCTGGATGTTCGCAGCCCTCCTGACGGCGGACTCGTTCTGGTGGTGGACGAGGCGGGAAAGCTTGTCCAGATGCCGCTCTTCCTCCATGTCCGAATCCAAGAGCCCCCCGCCCATGACCATGACAACGCAACCCTAGCTCGAAGCTCTAGGGTTTATGAGATGAAGCTCGTGAGCATCAAGAGCTTGGCCAACGCGCACGGCGATGGAGTGTGGGCGGTGGCGTGGGCAGCAGCAACCGGCGATCGTCCAGCAGTGCTGCTCACGGGGTCGGCGGACGAGAGCGTCAAGGTGTGGAAGGGCGACGAGCTGGAGCTGGAGCGGACCAACAGCGGCAACTCGCTAGGTGTGGTGGCGGTGGCGGCGAGCCCAGATGGGAGGGTGGCGGCATGCACGTCCCTGGACAGTGTGGTGCGCATCTTCGACGTGGACTCCAACAGCACGCTGGCGACGCTGGAGAGCAAGCCCGCCGAGGCGTGGCAAATGCAGTTCCATCCCAAGGTGAGGGAGGCGTGGGCATTTAGCGATGGGCATTTTCATGGATTGGTGTGGCACCCAGGGGGAGCTGCTGGCGGTGGCTGGCGGAGGGAGCGGCTGCGTCAACATCTGGAAGGCGAGCAGCGGGAGCCGGGAGACGAGCCTCAAGGCGGAGAGCGTGGACAAGGTCGGGGGTGGCAAGTTCGTGCTGTCGGTTGCATGGAGCCCGGATGGCAAGCTGCTGGCGTGCAGCTCCATGGACGGCACCATCGCCGTGTTCGACGTGGCCCGGGGCAAGATGCTGCACACGCTCGACGGCCACTCGATGCCGGTGCGCTGCCTCGCCTTCTCGCCGGTGGAGCCGCGCTACCTCTTCACCGCCTGCGACGACAAGCACGTCCACATGTATGATGCCGAGGGGCGGAGCCTGGTGAGCGCCATGTCGGGCCACGCGAGCTGGGTGCTGAGCGTGGCGGGGAGCCCAGACGGCGCCGCGCTCGCCTCCGCCTCGAGCGACCGGACGGTCCGCCTCTGGGACCTCAAGACGAGGAGCTGCGTTCAGAGCCTGACGGAGCACAAAGATCAGGTGTGGGGCGTTGCCTTCCGCCCCGGCAGGCTGGCCACCGTCGCGGACGACCGGAGCATTTGCCTCTACGACTACGCCTGACGTGGAGTATACCGTGGAGACATGGAGGACGGGACGGGGCGGCGCGGACGAGAGAGGAGACTGTCTCAAAGCAACACAAAATGGCAAACTAGACATTTTAAGTGGCATATGAGTCATGAGCACAAGGAACAGTGGGCATTACAGGGAGGCTCTGCCACATTGCACATGCCTCCTCTTATTCTTGTCCCGCCATCTATTCATCACATTACACTTCCTATGGTATATATGTATGTATGTATACGCATTTGCCTCTTTTGGTTGGTTGGTTGTTTTGTTGCGTTGCTTGCTTGCCTCCTTTCCAAATGCCTCTTTTTAAGCCCCCCCTTTGGTCTTGGCTTTGGTCCTTGCCTAGCGGCAACTGGCAAACAAAGAAAAGACCCAACCAAAACGCTCAAACACCCCCAATTCCAGAGCCAGCTCAACCACAGCTATCTCAAGCTTAGCCAAGGGTCATAGGTAGCTACACCCACCACCAAAACATCTCATCCCATTTCATATCTCATCTCATCTCAGCTCAGCTATGATTCTATGTAAGACATGGTTTTAGCACTAAGGTGGTGTTGGTGTTGTTTAGCCTAGGTAGAACGTGAGTGTGAGTGTGTGTGTGGGGCGGGGGCACGGTGGCGTTTGTTTTTCTCTCTCACGAGTCATCACACTGCCCAGGACTGGCTGGACCTCTGCGCTGAGCCCTGCCGAGCGCTGTGCCTGGAATACGAGTGTGAGAGAGAGAGAGAGAGAGGGCGGATTCGTTGACTGGGGAGTGAGAGTTTGACGAGGAGAGAGAGAGAGAGAGAGAGAGAGAGGTGTGTCGAGGGAGGCGATGGCGCGGCGCGAGGAGATTGAGGAGGAGAAGGAGAATGGGGGCAGCCATTTGTTGCGGCCACGGATATGATGCAGCGGCTGAGGAACTTAGCGTCTGGTTGGTCCTCCACGGCTGACACGGTAAGCCCCAAATCCGCCATTTACCCCCTTCCTAGCAAGCGCCACCACCAGCGCCATTCCAGCCACTGATTCGTTGCTCCTCTTGCCATGGCAGCAGCTTGGTGGAGCTGGTACCAAGAGGGCAAAGGTAGAACAAGGCGAGGAGCAAGGCATGGCGTCCTCGGTTAGCGCGGCCGGCTTGATAGCGAATCCCAGAGCTGCCACCGTCAACAGCAACGTTGTGGACCAGCTCCCGGACGAGATGCACGAGATGAAGATCAGGGATGACAAGGCCGCCACACACATTGATGAAAAGGTTTTGTAGATTGGCAATAACGCTCTCTCATTTCTGGTGATACTTATGGAAAGTCGGGTTGATTCGATGCAGGAGGTGGAGGCGGCGGTGATTGACGGCAATGGTACCGAGACCGGACACATCATTGCCACCACAATAGGAGGTCGGAATGGCCAACCTAAACAGGTTTGCGCTCCTCCCTTTCTCCTACATTCACCTCTCTTTCCTCACTCGTCTTTCTATCTTCTTCTTGTGTGGCAGACAATCAGCTATGTCGCGGAACGGGTTGTGGGAACGGGCTCCTTTGGAATCGTTTTCCAGGTATTGCTAGTCCAAACAGTGCAACAAAAGCAGGCTTTATCGTTTCTTCTTTCTCTTTGGGAATGCAGGCCAAGTGCTTGGAAACCGGAGAAACCGTGGCTATCAAAAAGGTCCTCCAAGACAAGCGGTACAAGAACCGAGAGCTCCAGATAATGCGCCTCCTCGACCACCCCAGCATTGTCTCCCTCAAGCACTGCTTCTTTTCCACCACCGATAAAGACGAGCTCTACCTCAACCTCGTCCTCGAGTACGTGCCCGAGACCGTCTACCGGATTGCAAAGCACTACAACAGGATGAACCAACGCATGCCGCTGCTGTACGTGAAGCTCTACACCTACCAGGTAACCACACACCCCGCAACAATGAAAGTAGAGACAAGAAATGTGGTTGGCATGGGACTGACATTTGTGTTCACGGAATCTAGATCTGCAGAGCATTGACGTACATTCACGGTGGCATGGGTGTCTGTCATCGAGACATTAAGCCGCAAAATCTTCTGGTAAACCCTCCTTGTGCTTTCGAGTCCTGGAATTCTTATGCTTTTCTTTTGCTGGATTTCATCAGGTAAATCCACACACACACCAGCTCAAGCTCTGTGACTTTGGGAGTGCTAAAGTCTTGGTGGGTGCTTACAAATAGGATCCTTGGAATTCAGCAGCTGATTTGCGTTTCCTGCTTTTCCTGGCAAAACAACAGGTGAAGGGAGAGCCCAACATATCGTATATCTGTTCCCGTTACTACCGTGCTCCGGAACTTATATTTGGTGCAACTGACTACACAACAGCCATCGACATCTGGTCGACTGGATGCGTTCTGGCTGAGTTACTTCTTGGTCAGGTTGTATACCTCGTCCTTGCAACTCTTCCATTATGCCACTCACCGTCTCATCAATCATTTCCACTGTGCAGCCTTTGTTCCCAGGAGAGAGCGGCGTGGATCAGCTAGTGGAGATTATAAAGGTACGCATGCATTCTTGCTCTTTTTTTTCTGTTTTTTTTGCGAGTCGCTCTTGCTCAAGACTTGCTTTTGCAGGTCTTAGGTACTCCTACTCGCGAGGAAATCAAATGCATGAATCCAAACTACACGGAGTTTAAGTTCCCTCAGATTAAAGCGCATCCCTGGCACAAGGTAAGAGCAATCATCCGGTATATCTCTCTCTCTGTCTCTCTTGATGTGGCTCGTTGACAGGTTTTCCACAAGCGGATGCCTCCTGAAGCAGTGGACTTGGTGTCGAGGCTGCTTCAGTATTCCCCCAGCCTCCGATGCAATGCCGTAAGTTGTCGCGTTCTCGTTGAGCGCTGGTTCATTTATCTTTAAATTTTTCACAGCTGGAGGCACTTGTCCATCCGTTTTTTGATGAGCTCCGAGACCCGAGCACAAGGCTACCCAATGGACGACCGTTGCCAGCCTTGTTCAACTTCAAACCACTTGGTAAATTGTTGTTGTGTGTCCCAAATTCTCCTGTGACTGAATGCTACTTAACGATCCAGAGTTGAAGGGCGCATCGCAAGAACTGCTTGAACGACTCATACCCGAACACGCGAGAAAGCAGGTTCCTTTTCTAGCGCTGTAGGCCTCGACGATCTGACAAGCAAGCCCTCTTATTTTTCTCGTTAACCTCTCTGGTATGATCTTTGTATGTGTACTATGCTGATGCTACAACACTACTACGTACGACGACTGCTTCCCCTAGGTACAATACAATAGAGAGAACTGTGAGTGAGTGTGAGGGAGTAAAGAGATTACTACTATTATGAGTTACTTTCCAATAGGTTGCTAAGCAGAAGCTTGTCAACGAACGATTCGCATGAGATGTATGTTTATACAGAAAGAAGGGTGTGGCTTTTCGACAAAAAATTGCGACAAAGTTGCTGGCTAAGAATTGATTGCCCGGCAGTTTTTCCGAATCTGGCCATCCGAGCCAGTCTTCACCTGGACCTGTCCCAGTCGCACCATAGCCAGCTGGAAGTTTGCAGAGAAGCTGTTTGCGTTTTGAGCAAAGGCGTTCACCAGCGGCTTTGTCCTTGGATCAGTAAACAGCGCCTGGTCCGACGACATGAGGCCCTTCCCCGCCTGCAAGTTGACGAAGTAGGCATTGTCGAAGATGGTGTTGCTCAATACATCCAGGGGCAGCAGCTTGGTGGCGTCTGGACTGGGAGACGGGCAGCTCGACTCCAACATCTTTCCAAACGTTGGATCCAGCGTCGGATCGCTTCCGTTGGCACTAAAGCGATTCATGATCGCTCCACAGTGCGCAAAACCAATGGTATGAGCGCCTACACAGATTAGTGAACACAACTGAGAACATCCACCAAGTCGCGTTTGCTCACCTGAAAGAACCACCAGGTCCGACTGAGACAGACCCTTGGCGCTGAAAGATGCTGTCGACTGGTCCACGTTAAAGGATGGATCTGGTAAGTTGGAGGCGACGACGGAAGCCTGTGAAACAAGACCGTCTCTCCGTCCAGTTGGAACGTCCCAGTGCGGCCCTCCAGACTAGCAAAAAAGAACAGAGATAGAGCAGTCAATCAATGCACTGCGCTCTGCCCGTGGCCAGTAAACAAAAGAGCAAAGAGGCTATCAACTTACAAAGAATATGGCATCCCTGGCCGCCAATGCTACTACATCTGCGCATGACACAGTTCCGGGGCACACAGCTTCCAGCGTGTTCTTGGCGGCATCAATCACCTCGTAGCCACCCACGGTTGCGCTCGCCCGGCTATCTTTCTCCGCAGTGTTGTTTGGAGTTGAGTCGAGCAAGATTGAGGCGTCACACCCCTGTGGCACAAAACGCAGGCATGAGTAGCGACATCAGATGCAGCTCGAGCTCTAGCTTCAAACTTACTTGCACGAAGCAGTCGTGGAAGAAGAGCCGAACTAGACGCGATGCGAGCGGGCGATTACTTTGGATCGCCATCATCACGGATTGTTGCACAATGCTCTCGGCTCTCGGGCAGGAGCTGTCATAGAATCCAACGAGCAGCTGCGCTTGAATGCATACAGCAGAGAGTTGGAGAACCAGGACGAAAAGAGGCTCCAGCATTCTTGAGCTTGGCGCGCGCAGGCGAGGCGGCATTGTGCCGTGTAGGAGATTACTACGACAGGGTTGTGGAAGGTTTTAGCACCTGAAGCCCATGACAGAAGTAGTGCCGCGTTTTCGCCACATAAGTCCAAGCCGCAGCTGCATAGTGTGAGCGAGTAAAGTCGAGAACCCAAGCACTGACTGTCTCTCTCTGCAACAAAACAACAAGAGGAGAGAAAATCGGTGAGTTGAATTGAGAAGCCAAACACTGGTATATCATACTCGCCCGACCACAAATTCTTGTAACGACCGAATTGCATTGAATGCCGCATTCGCCATCACACTTGCTCGTTCTTCTTCCTTCCCAGCCTGTAGAAAAGAAAGACAGAAAATAAAAAGAAAAGAGAAAACAAGGCCGCCAGCTGCTGATGTGTTTCGGCACGGCAAGCACCGTGCTCTTTCACCCATTATAACTCCGCGTACCTTAATTTCTGGCTGTCAGCCATGGTAGCGTAGTGTTTGTAGACGCAGTATCATCTTGTTTTCGTGATAGATTTCACAGACCAATAGCATCCAGGAGCTGCGTGTGCTTATCTACAGATACCAGAGAGTTTGCAGTGAGCATGCCACTGGCAGCTACAGCAGGAACTCCGATTCCTGGAAACACCGAGTCTCCGCAGCAAAAAAGATTCTTGATTGGAGTCTCGGGACCAGGGAACGTGTCCTTGCCTGCTCGGATAGCAGGTCCATAAGTACCACGATGCCTGCGTAAGAAACGCTCGTGTGTCAATGGTGTCCCGACGAGCTTCACATCGCAGCTGTCTGCTGAGAATCCGGTCCCGAGCGCTCGCTGCACAGCTTTCCACATGACCTGAACAAAGCAACCAGTCAAGGAAATCACGAACGAGAAAAGAAAGACGAACCTGAGACCGTTCTTCTTTGAGCTGTTTGTATGCAGCAGACTGGCGATCAAGGCCTTTCCAGAGGTGATAAGGCTCCGTTCCTGGCGTGTATGCGTGCAGGACGTGCTTTCCAGGGGGTGCGAGATTGGGACTGAGAGCACTTGGCATGGAAATCAAAACAACATTTTGTGGTGCGTCCACCCCTTGCTCCCAGCTATCAACCACTATATGATGGATTCCAAGATCAGCAGGTAGGTCCTAAATGGTTAGCTGATAGATAGTACTTTGTTCCTGGAGAAAGAGAAATGCCCACCTTTGCTTCCACACCGAGATGCAAGTGCATAAAGGAATCGCACTGTGGAGTTTCAGTTGCACGCTTTTGATATTCTTGTGGAACCTCCTTTGGAGGGAGCAACGCCACCGTATTCCATATTGACGCATTGCTTATGACCGCTTTGCGTGCAACAACAACCTGCATTATATGGAAGGATCAGGATCTGTGGCTTGACATCTTTCGAGTACCTGGCCATTTCTCAGCTTTACCCCCTTCGCACGGCCATTTTCAACCAGAATTTGCTCAACATGACACCCCAAGGAAAGCTGTCCGTTGTGTTTCTCGAGGCCGCGTACAAGAGCGTCGATAATTGCCTCAGTCCCTCCATGAGGATACTCCAGCATGCATCCAGGCTTATACCATTCGGAAAACATGTAGACCTGTTTGTACGAGTTCAAAGTTAGACAAGTAGCTCAACTGACGACAAGAAGCGAGCTCACCACTTCGGCGGCAAGTGTGCCATCAGCCTTAAGGCCCGAAAGAAGGAAAGGCAGCAAATCCAGCCAGTTGCGAAGGAAAGGATCCTTAATCTCCAGTGCGTCGAGAATCTCCGAAAAAGGTCCCAGAAGCCTCGGCGCATTCAAAGCTCCTTTGAATCCCATTCGCATGAAGGATGAGATGAGCTGTGGGGAATAACGTCCCAGAACGGTAAAAAGAGCGCCCCAGTCACCTCGAAGAGCTGCTGGTGGCAGGGCCATGGCAGCTTCAGAGAGTCCCAGCACAGTTTCCTGAATTTTGATCAAGTGTCAGTCAGTGGCAAGTGAGTTTCTCAACACTTCACTTGAAGTCTCTTCCATTCTGCTACAGCATTCGAGCCACCATACTTTTCCAACACCTGGTACACAGATACTAACAGACGGAGAGTTATTTTCCAGAGCAAAAGCTTGCAAGCTTGTGCAAATACTTAGTACCTGTGGAAAATGGGATGGACCAATCTCGGACAAGAAGCTGCCTTGCGGAAGATGAACCATCCAGGAATCATACTTTGCGCACTCGACACGCTCACCCAAGGCATCCAGTACCTGGAGAAGATACAACAAAGTTAGTTTATAGCTCGTAGTATATGATACTTTGACCTGAGCAAGGGGATTGGCTTGAGGACCCTTGGACGAGAGACCCGAGAAGAGCGAAGGCCCCGAATCGAAACGATAGCCTCCGATTTGGAAGGAATGCGCGGCTCCTCCAGCAAGGGTATGACTCTCCAGGACGACGACGTCTTCGCCATACCTGGCAAGCAAGCCGCCACAGCTCAAGCCGCCAATCCCACTCCCAATCACCACATAATCCGCCCCCGCCTTGCCTGGAAATCAAATGTAGGCGTAGGAGGAGCGAGCAAGCGAGCATTTCTCCAGCTTACCTCTGAGGCCCTTTCGATCGATGGTGTGAACGACGCTCGGGGCTGAGACGAGGCTGGCCATCCAATCCAAATGCCCTAAACTCCCATCTAAGAAAGAGATCATGCTTGTGGAATACAATATAGCGATGCCTTGTGTGCACTACCTATCATCAGGAATCACTGGTCGACTGATCCCAATGCCTTGGTTCTCGGCAGCGATGATAGTTGTGATACTGACAGCAATTTTGGAGCTTGGAGTGGTCCAGAGCAGCACCGTGGTGGGATACTACTCACACTCTTGCCCGGCGGCCGAGAAGATTGTGAGCCAGGTTGTGGCGGAGCAATTCGCAACCAGGCCGCTCGTCGCTGCCGGTATACTTCGACTCTACTTCCACGACTGCTTCGTAGAGGTAGCGCGCGAAAGTGGTAAAATCCTGTTCTTACATTTCTGTGTGTATCAAAGGGATGCGATGGATCCATTCTTCTCGACGCATCGCCCGACGGCACACCGCCTGAGAAGCGGAGCCTGGCAAACAATAACACAGCCACTGGATTCGAGCTCGTCGACGCGGCCAAGAGACGCATCGAGGCGGTCTGTCCGGGTACCGTATCGTGCGCTGACATTCTCGCTCTGGCCGCCAGAGACTCCGTCGCAATAGTAAGTGCCTGGATCATCATGGTCGAATAAGCTCTTCACAGGTTCTTGATGATTGTTGCTCGGTGATATAGTCGGGGGGACCTCGCTGGGAGGAGCCAACTGGACGCTACGATGGAAGGGTGTCTCTGGCGTCCAATGCTGATGGCAGCATTCCTGGGCCTTCCTTCAACCTCACTCGCCTCATCCAATCCTTCGCAAACAAGACACTCGATTCCAGGGACCTTGTCACACTCTCGGGTACGATCAGATGCATGAAGATAACATAACCCATGTCGAAACAATCAATGCAGGAGGCCACACGATCGGTCGATCCCATTGCGCCAACTTCCAAATCCGTCTCTACAATTTCTCTGGAACCGGGCTACCGGACCCGGCGTTGAATCCCGCCTACGCCGCTGCTTTGAGACGGATCTGCCCAAACACTTCTCCGGCCAGGCGCGCGACACTGTCTCTAGACAGAGGCAGCGAGATCCCCTTCGACAACTCGTACTTTGTGCAGCTCCTGGCTGGCAACGGGCTTCTCAGGAGCGACGAGGAGCTGCTGCTGGATGGATCCATGCGGGGCCTCATCAGTGCTTTCGCCGCAAACCAGCGACTCTTTTTCCGCGAGTTTGCCAAGGCTATGGTGAAGTTGGGAGGGATTGGTGTCAAGGATTCCATCCAGGGCGAGATCAGGCTGCATTGCCGGCGCGTGAATAGAAGAAACTCTGGATCATCCCCGCGAGTTCCCACGCCACCAGCTCCAATAATGCGCTCCAGAGCTCCGCCACCTCCGTACTAGTATAAAGCCTGGTCTGCTAACGCATTTTTAATTAAAGTGGCGATTCTCTCCAAAAGAAGAAGCACTTTCTTCTTCCTTTGATCTAGAGTTTCAATCAGAAGCAAGCCAAAGAGAATCAAGTTATTGGGGGATCACACCATTTGCCTAGATGGTGGAGGCAGCGGCATCATCGCCATTCGTGGTGGTGACAATGATGGTGTTTCTAGGGTTCACGCGCCTACAGTTCCTCCGAATCTCCCCGTTGGCCGACGTCTTGATCCTCAGCTCGCCCATCTTGAGCAGAGACCTCCGGAAGCGCAGCTGGAATCGGTTCTCGTCCCCGGCAAACGACCGCACGATGCTCTCCGTCTCCGAGTCAAGGGTGAGCTCCTGGTCGGATCGCAGCAGCCCCCTCCCCGCCACCAGGTTGCGATAGTAGCTGTTGTCCACCACGAACTCGGAGCCTCGGTCCAGCGCCACCCTGTTGGTGGCATTGGCGTTGCGCGGGCATGCCTGCTGGAGCTCGGCCCGGTACGTGGCATTCAAGGTTGGATCCGGGACTCCAGTGTTGCTAAAGTTGTAGAGGCGGGGCGAGAAGAACTGACATTGCGACTGGCCAATTGTGTGTGCCCCTGTGGAAGTTGGAGTCCGGTTGGCTATATCACTACGTAATAGTGACGATATAATAGTTTTACGTACCCGAGAGGTGGACCAAGTCCTGGACTGTGAGGTTCTGTCGAGCGAATGAGTCCTTGAGCCTGGTGGCACTGTCGAATGGCGATGGCAGAGCGGCCTCGGCGAGTGTCCGGTTTGAGATCCGACCATCAAAGCGGCCGGTGGGCATGACAAAGAAGGGTGCTCCGGTCTAGAGAAACAAGAGTGATCATAGTGAGATAACTGATATCGCCATCAAGGATCAAACCAAACTTACGAGGACAACCGAGTCTCTTGCTGCCAGCGCGAGGATGTCCGCGCACGAGACGACGCCGGGGCAAGTGCTCTCGAGCCGCGCCTTTGCATCGTCAATCACCTCGAAGCCCCGGGCCGAGTTGTTGTTTGGCAGCGCCTGCTTCTCGATCACAGCGCCATCGGCGGACGCATCCAGCAGCAGCGATCCATCACACCCCTGCCAATTTCCAAATCAATCCTAGCGAGTCGAGCTGACCACCTAGAGCTTGTATACCTCGACGAAGCAGTCGTGGAAAAAGAGTCGCAGCAGTGCCGCCGGGATGGTCCGGTTGTTCCGGAAATGCGAGGTGACCACGTCTCGGACAATCGTCTCCGCATTCGGGCAAGTCCTGTTGTAGAAGAACTCCTCGGTGCGCGCATCTGCAAGACATAGGATTGCAAGCATCGACACCACAAGCATTCTTTTCGCCATTCTCATCTGTCTCTCTCTCTCTTTCACGCAGTGTTAGAATGGCTTCTCGAGTTAGATGAGTTTATTTCCTTGGGAAAGCTAAAGGCGAGCAATAGTACAGTAGGCTTTTGACAATGGTAGCACCCTTCTTTTGCCTTTCGCCAAAGTGAAAAATAAAAATAAAAATGAAAGAGCCAAATCTTTTTCCTTGACTGCGACTGAGGCAGTGCAACGAGCATTTCAGTACGTAGCCAAGTGCCCGACGACACAAGCACACAGTTGCTCGCGTGGCCCTCGCAAGCCCGTGTTAGCTGGGACTTTTGCGATCATAGCTTCTCGTTAGAGCTTGTGATTTGTCGCGGAATCCGTGTCAAAGTGCCTCCGGTATATTATATCTCAGATTTTCTTGGACAAGGAAAGCTACGTTTGTGTGACTGGTCAATCGCCGAGCGGGAGGCTCGTCCCTATGAGATTTCTCTTCTTTCTATAGAACAAGATCCGCTTTGATCGCGGAGATATTACTCGAAAGTTCTTCTAGGAAACAATGCCAGTCAGATAAGAAAGACGAGACCGACAGCTTACCAAATAAAAGGAGACCACTCTTTCGTTCCTCAGCTTTCTGACTTCAACTTGCGAGCACGTTTCTGCTGAGGTGGAGATGGAGGCGTGTCTGAAAATCTTGCTGGAGCCTGTACCACAGAAAGATACCAGAATTGGCATTCGAATGTAGCGTACGCAACATTTACCTTGCGCTTGTGATCGCGCTTGCCTATTCGTTCTCCTGAAACATGTTAACCATTACATAAATCAAAAACCAACACAATGGCCACTCACCTGATACAGCAGCAGCACGGTCACCTCCTCGAAATCCCCTCTGTAACCAGGAAAAATTCACCATATTAACCAACATTAAGAAAAATAAAGAACACCTTCGGGGTATTAGGCGTTGAAACTTCTGGGTGTGTTTCCCGCATGAATGAAACAGTCGCCTCGTTCCATTGAACCTACAACTCAGCGTCGTTAGAAGATTAAAGAAAAAAGGAGACAATTATATATGAAGCACGCACCGCCTTTTGAAGGTTTACTAGATTGAGAACTTCCCTTCTCAATTCCAAATGCTCACGACATATCGATTCGGTAGGAATTTTCGGCTCCAAACGAACCTACAAGCATGAAAGTCAAAAGGAATGAAATGCCTGTCCCATTGGATTACCCCAAGTTCATCAAGTAGTATTTGCTCGATACGCTTCACTATCCGTGCTCCAACTGACGAAAGCATACTTTGTACCATTTGCCCCAAATTAGGACCTCGAAGAAACACGCGATGCTGCTAGCGAAGTCAAGGTGAGTAGACAAAAAAAGCACAATTTAGACAAAAATTACGGACCCCACGAGTAGTAGTAGTGGTAGACGTCGCTGCTGCTGCAGTATCAGTAGAAGGCTGCGTAAGATCTGTTCCAGGGGCAGAAGGTTGTTCTGCCTGCTCGTCCACCTGTTATGGTTATAGTTCCGGTGTTTAATGCTGAAAGAAAAATGAAATGTAAAAATACGTACTTTACTCAGACGGGCTTCGGTAATACGCTTAGCCTCCGCGAGTACCTATGCAAGAACACCAGTTAAAAGGAGTAAGAAATGAAGAACACGCATACTTCCGCGTCCTCCCGCTCCTGTTGCCTCGACTGAGACAATAGCAAGCCAAGGGCGCGCTTGCGTTCCGTTTCATAATTGAAGTTGTATGCGTCCTGAAAGGGCATCCCGAATTCAGCGTTAGCTCAAGATTTCATGCAGATTTATACCTTCACATGCGGATGGTCAGCCACCTCTTCAGGAGTTGTGGCCCTGGATAATATTATTGCTTTGGACGCTTCATATCAAAGGAGAAGTGTTAGGAAGTACTGAGAAACACATACGGAGACAAGGGCAACCTGAGTAGTAGCGATCCTTGAGTTCCTCAACAGTACGTGGAGGAGAGAACCTGTCCGCTATTATAACGAATCGAAGGTCGAATTGCTCGCACATGCTGAACAGAAGGTCTGTTTCTTGTTTCGTCCATTTCTACAAAATAGAAAAAGAAAAAGAAGAAAAATGTTAAGCACACAAAATGGTCTTAGCACATACCGTATCTGCTAGGTGCTTGTTGTACTCGTCATCTGTATACTTCAAGACTGCCACAGACTGTTTGAAGTTTGATTCTCTTAGACGAAACACAAGAAGGCCAAAGAAATTAAAGGCACTCACTCTATTGTACTTCGCGAAAGCGTAATCCCCGGTCGGCACCACCGAGTCCACGACTCGCACCTAGAAAATAAAAATAAAAAACATGTTTCGAATGCTAAAGTCTTGAATGTACGTGGTCACAGACCCAATGTGATAGCTGCAACCCATCCGTGCGTGCCGAATTCGCAAAAGGAAGCCATTGCCACGAAATCTATCGAAAAACAAAATTTTCCAGATGCTATTTTGCAAGGAAGCTTACCTTTTGAGACGAAGCTTGACGTTGCTTGGTATCCACAGAGGCTATCAGAGGCGGCAGACCTCCAGTGAGAGCATATACCTACATGAATGCCCGTAATTCAATCCGGAGCTAGAATAGAGCTACTCTTTCTTACCTCCCGGGAGACACGATCGAGCTTCTTGGGCACCGTCTCCTTGGGCGCCCGGACGCGCTTGTCGCCCACAGGCCCTCCCTTGGGCAGCCCAAGGATGTCCTTGGCGTCCATTTCCCCCCTGCCCTAAAATCCTCTAGAGATTCTCTTGGTAATGTGATGGAATCTTTTTTAAATTTCAAAAACGCTTCCTCTTGCTCGCAAAGAGCTGCTCTCTGCGAAACCAGACGTAGAGGCCGATTCCAGCGATGGCCAAAACGAAGACAAGCCAGCTCCAGGGGAAAGGCGCGTCCTTGAAACATACTATCGCTGCCTCGAGGTGTGAGGAAGCCTCGAAGGCGAGATGGTGAGCGCCGTAGAGGTCGTGCTCGGCGGATTTGAGGAAGAAGAGAGCCAAATTGAAATCGAAGTGAGACATGGCCGATGTTGCCTTGTTGAGCTTGTAGAGTAGTAAGTTCCATCTCTGGTTCATCTCGGTCCCCTGTCTGCTCTTGAGCACAGCCTTCTCGCCTCCCAGTCCCTTCAACGTTTCCAGCATCTCAATGGCTCCCCACACCGTCGTGTTGAGCATCGTGTGCAGGACGTTGCGAGGAGCTGCGTCTCTCTGCGCGAATGACAGCGACGAGAGCTTCGAAAACGGACCAAACGGCGTGTTCCCCAGGCTCCAAGTGTAGTCTAGAAACGTCGAGTTGTGCTCGCTGCTCCAGGTGAGGTACGTCGGTGTCACGCCCCACAGAGTTTGAAGCAGCGACGCGACGAGTGGACGCTCGAGCCTTCTCGTCTCCACCATCATGGGACGATGGTTGCAATTGAACTCGGACACCGTCTGGTATCCTTTGCTCCGGATGGCGATTATCATGTCCCTGAAAGCCATCGACTGATGGTCGCGGTCCAGCATGACGATCCTGTCGCTCTTGAGATCAAAGACGTAGACTGGAACTATCCGAGCCATGAAGTTGTTCGAGCTGCCGCTGGAACCGGCCATCTTCTCTAGCTCCACTTGGTTCTCAGCCAGCAAGTAGTGCAGCTGCTTCGAGTCTATGTAATCGTTGACAAAGAGGCTGTAGCGATCGATGAGAACTCGTGAGGTGTAGCTCTTGGTGGAGCGGGCGAGGAGCGCCGAACACAGAGCGCATTCGTCCATATCTATCGTAAACCTCTTGAAGACGAGAGACTGGCCGTGAAAGAGCAGACCCTCCGAGGCCTCCTTCTTGAACGTCTCCTCGATCTCCTCCCACTTTATCTGCTCCGAGTCGCCGCCATCGCCATGCTTGAAGTGAAAGAAATGCACCTCCAACTCACGATCGTAGTAGACTGGAATCCTCATCGCGGGAGCTAGCAGCATCTGCGAGGCACTCCAGACGAGCGCCGCTAGATCAGCCAGCAGCGCCTTTTGAGCCGGGCTCTCGTGAAAAGCCGCCGCGTATGGATAGAGCTCGCTGCGCAGCACCAGACCCTCTCCGGAGAGAGCCGGGCCATACTCGATCGGACCGGCAGCGAGATCGATCCACACGTAGCGCTCCCGGCCCATCCAAAGATTCCCCAGGCACTTGGTGAAGGCCGAGTGGAGCTCGTCGCCGTCTCCCGGCTGGTAGTCGTATCCGTACGACCGAGCCTGGCGCTTGAGGTTGAGGATGTAGATGACGTACGACGCCAGCGGCTTGGCGAGGTCCGCCCGTACCAGCTCGTCCACCACAGTGTACGGCACCGGGGTGTAATAGACGCTCGAGAGTGACGAGGGGCGATCGACAGTGCCTTGGATCGCCCGAAACATGGAATCGGCGAGATTGCTGCTGCCACTGTCCCTCACCACATCGATCTCGATCTTGGATCTCACGTTTAGCCTGTGATTGCTAGTCCCACCCGTGCCGATCACATGGACGTGCTCGTTCTTGTTGAGGATCTCCAGGTAGCGCCCCAGCTGCTGCTCCAGCTGATGCTTCTGATCGCTCGAGAAACCCACCAGCTTCACCGTCACTGACGTTGTGGACTGGAGCGAGAGGATTGAGTGGAGCTTGTAGTCCAGGTCGTGGCGCGGGGTGGAGAGGAAGTGCTTGAGGCCGGGGCGCAGGAGCTCGAATGTGTCGTTGCCGGCCAGGGGATCCGCCTTGAATTCCTGCGCCAAGACCGTGTCGAGCCCGTAGGATGACGCGTCGGAGCCGGTGGCAGCGATCGACGCAAGCAGCAGCGCAAGAATGCCGGCGAATCCATCCATATTTCCTGTTCTTACCCGGAATCAAGCTAAAGCCCTAGACGCCATAGCTGCCAGTTCTAGAACCCTAGAACTAGTCCGTTTTATGCCCGTTTGATCGATCAGGTAAGGCTCGTCGCCATGGTAAGCTTCTCCGTACGACCGGGCCTCTCTTCGCTCAAGACTCACTACCGGCATGCTCCGCCGTTTCCAAGTCATGGAAGAGTCCATCCTCTCCTTTCGCCGCCGCTGGCCAAAACCGTGGCGACAAGGAATGCTTGCGGGTTATGACAAGCTCCCTCTTGCTCGGCGACCGCTGCCTCGCTGGGGATCTATCACGGCCGAACCACCAGGAGTTTGCGTTGCCTTACACCGAAACCGTTTAGCGCTCTCCCCGAGCTCCCGTTCTCGCCAGCCTACGTCAAGACGAGGAAGCAGCGGAATTTATAGCTTACGAACAAAGCTTTCCTCCTCGAGCTGTATTTCCAGACTTGGACGGCTACTTCTACGATCTCACCATCCTGGGATTTTACGACTTCGGCCGTGCCAGGTGGAGTCCCTGTGCGGCCCCCGCAGCCTGAAGATCAAGGTTGAACAAGGTGGAGAGAGCCTGCGCTGCGTTTTGCCGCGCCAGGGTGACAAGGGTGACTTAGTTACAGTCTCCGCAGGGCTTCATAACGCCATACTTGAGGAAGTGTACCCTGGGCAGCCGGATTTCCGACACATTTTTTGTTGCAATACCGCTGGACACCTTTTCGGAGTCAGGGATCGTGTTTGTTTACAACTTCAGCACAGGGCAGTGGGGTGGAGTGGATGGAAACAGATGAGTTAGCTAAGGCAGTCTTTATCGGCCGTCCTCTGGATTCAGAGAACGTTTCGCGGTCGCAGCGATCTACAGCCAAACAAAACGTGGAGAAGCTTACAATCGCATATTGCGCTGTGCAAGAAGAGCGGCGAGATCTGTGGGGGGATTACTTCCCATCACTTCACGGTGCTTTGCTTGTGCAGTTTGCCAAAGGTTTAAGGAACATCCCATTCTTGATTCTCGCCTTTCTTCCCTTTGCAGCAATATAAGGCGCAGCACTTTTAGGCATTCCTCGGAATGAAGCAGGCCAAGCAGACGCCTGTATCGGTTCTGCTCGCTCAAGATGACATTTTGGAGTTGGTTCTCAGCTCTGTGGACCTGGCCTCACTGCCGGCACGCTCCGCCGTTTGCAAGTCATGGAAGTCCATCCTCGGCAATCCCTCTTTCCGCCGCCGCTGGTGCCAAAACAGTGGCGACAAGGAATCCTTGCGGGTTATGACTAGCTCCTTCTGCAGCCACCGTTGCCTCGCCTGGGATCCATCACAGCCGAACCACGAGGAGTTGGCGTTGCCCTACTCACCACAACCCTTTCCTCATACGCTAGTCGTTGCTTCCGCGGGTGGCCTGGTATTCATCTTGAGGTCGCCCAAACCCGACCTGGATCCCACTAGCGATTTGTTTCACCTGGTGGTGGGCAATCCCGTCACCCAAGAGTGGATGGAACTGTCACCGCTCCACTGGAAGGACAGAGAAAGACACACTCATGTGGGAGCGCTCGACTTTGCCATGTTTGTCTACAATAATGGCTTCAAAGTCGGCCTGTACTACACCGCCCCCAACACCTCGGGCCACTGGTGCTGCATCTACGACTCGGCAACACGCGCGTCTTCTCTCCCCAAGCTCCCGTTCTCCCGATCCTACGTCAAGGCGAGGGAGCAGCGGAATGTAGCTTACGAACAAAGCTTTCGTCCTCGAGCTGTATTTCCAGACTTGGACGAGTACTTCTATGACCTCACCATCCTGGGATTTTACGACTTCGGCCGCGCCAGGTGGAGCACCGGTGCGGCCGTCCGCAGCCTGAGGATCACAACGGGCCACGAAGACAAGGTTGAAGAAGGTGGAGCGAGTCTGCGCTGCGTTTTGCCGCTCCCAGGTACATGCACGACGAGGCTGTGGGAGCACAATGGCCAGCGCTACTTTGCAAGCGGTTGGATGTATGCGGGAGGTGACCGGGAGGAAGGGGACTGCGGAGTTGATGGCTATGGCGTGTGGAAAGTCGATGAGAATGGTGGCTTGGTTCCAGTGTCTGCAGTTCTCCATGACGCAATACTTGAAGAAGTGTATCCTGGGCGGCGGAATCTTGGATACATTTTCCGTTGCAAGACCGCTGCAGAGGGGAACCTCGTCACTTTTTCGGAGACAGGGATCGTATTTGTTTACTACTTGAGCACAGGGCAGTGGGGTGGAGTGGACCGAAACCCAGAGGATTTAGCCAAGGCAGTGCTTTATCGGCCGTCGCTTAGGACACTTTAGTTTTTAAACAACACGAGTTACTCAACTTTACATCAATGTTACTTCTAAAAGCCCTATAGAACCCTAGAATGGCGACGATGCTCAAGGTCCGTGATCTCCGCCCCTCGGTGGGAAACAACATCAACACGACCTTCATCATCCTGGAGAAGTACAACGCCTCGCGCAGCGACGGCGGCATTCTCATGTGCATCGCGCTCGTCGCCGATTCCACCGCCAGCGTCCACCTCCAGATGTGGGGCGCCGAGTGCGACGCCTTCCAGCCCAGCGACATCGTCCGCCTCACCAACGGCATCTTCTCCTTCCACAAGGCCAATCTGGTGCTCCGCGCCGGGAAGAAGGGCCTGCTCGAAAAGATTGGCGAGTTCTCCATGGTCTTCGTGGAGATCCCAAACATGAGCACCATGCAATGGGTCCAAGACCCCACCAATCCCAAAGGCTGGATTCCTCTCACTCACTCTTCGCCGGCGCCCACCGGACCGATGCTCGCTGGTGCCGCTTCCTCAAATCCGGGAAGACACTAGATAGAACTTTAGATGCTAGAACCAAAGAAAAAAGGTAGAAGAAAAAAGAAAGAACAAGGTGTTCTCTGGATCCAGACGAAGAATTAAATGTAGCTCAAGTCTGGACTGACCTCTATTGCCTCCACTTCTTCAATCATCTGCACGACTTGGATCATCTTGGGCCTCTCCTCGGCTGCTCGAGTTACGCAGGCCATGGCGACTTTGAGCAGCCCGTTCATCTGTTCTTGCTTGGAAACCTCGATGGCGTTGTCAAACACTGCCGACGTCCACTCGTCGTTCACGGTTGCTATCGCCCAGCTCGGAAGATCCATCTTCGATGAGTTCCCAGCCTGGTCTCCACCGCTAGATTCTTCTTCCGCCGGGAGCTTTCCAGTGAGCAGCTCTAGCAGGATGACCCCGAAGCTGAAGACGTCTGCCTTTCTTGATATGTCCGAGGCAGTCTGGCACTCGGGAGCTCTGTAGCCGTTCTTCTCCAGCGCTTGATCGCTAGGAACGAAGGGTAACAGGCCAAAGTCGGAAACTCGAGCCTCGTACCTCTCGGTGAGAAGAACATTGGACGACTTGATGTTGCCATGCGGGAGCTTGCACTGGTGGTGCAGGAACTTTAAACATCTTGCAACGCCTAGAGAGATCTTGAGGCGTTTGGACCACGAAAGCCTGGACGGAGTTCCCGGACTGTTACCTGGTAACAATGTCACTTGGCTTTAGAAAGATACTTGCGAGATTCACTTACCATGCAAGACGTTGTGCAAGCTTCTCTTTGGCATGTAGTCGTATACCAGCAGCTTCTCGATCCTGGCATAAAAATAAAAAGCTCTCAGCCGCAGGAGATTCGTATGCGTCATTCGGCCGACAATTCCCATTCTCCTCTCGAACACCTTCTTGCTGCATCCCGTCCGGTCCACTAGCCTCTTCACTGCTACGAAGCCTCCAGTACAGAGGGCTTTGTAAGTGCTCCCGAGGCTTCCCTTGCCAAGCAGCTCTGCAGAAGCTTGGAGGAGGTCCGCGAGCTGAAACTTGCCAGCATCCCTTGTGACAAAGACAATGTCGCCGGATGCCATCTCTTTCTTCTCGGTTCCTGTTGTTGCTGTGTCGGACTTATCAACGTCTTTGGACGATGCACGGAGGTATCTGTAGCCGAAAAATAAGGCCGAAAAACTGAGGACAAACGCACCGATGACCGCAACGGCAATGATGACAATAATCTGCTGAGAAGGTTTTTGCGTCCTGGACTTTGGAGGACAAGGAGCGAAGCTCGGGGGTCCACAGAGAGCTGAGTTCCCAACGTATGCTGTCGGATATCTACTTGCCATAGCGCTGGGAACAGGACCGCTCAAGTTGTTCCAGGAAACATTGAAGTCTGTCAAGTTTGGTATGTTGGACACGTCGGGAACTCCGCCAGTCAGGGAATTCATCTCTAGACGCAATGTGAGCAGCTTCCGCAAACCACCTATCGCTGCTGGGATAGATCCACTCAGATGATTGTTGGAGACGTCCACCCTGTCGAGATCTTGCAGCGTGAGAAGAGCTTCCGGAATCGATCCTTCAAGTCGATTGGAGTTGAGATACAGCTTCTGTAATCTCCTACACCTGGATAAGTCCGATGGAATTCTGCCCGTCAAGTTATTTCCCTTCAAGCTTAGAACTTTCAACTCCGTCAACTGGCCTAAACCGTTCTCTAAAACACCTGGAAACCTGCGGTTCTCAAGCCTGAGTTTAACTACGCGATTATCTGAGTTGCAGATTACACCATCCCAGTTGTCAGTACAGGGATTATTGCCCGTCCAACTCGATCCGAGAGTCTGCTTTAAATCTGCCTTCTCTTTAAAACTCAAAAGAGCCTCCCTATCCGAGTCTAGATCAGAGCATCCCATAGAGACCAGAAGGAACACTACCACCGCTATTAACTCTTCGTTTAGGCCCATCCTCTTCCGCCTCTACCAGGCCAAACCTCCTCCGACCAGGTCTAGCAGATAAAGAAGCCTTGATTAATGCTTCATTGCCTTGGGCGCTCCATGGACGTGGTTGGCACCAGGGATAGCGACTAAATTTGCAGCTGGACATAGGAAGCTGGACATAAGAAGTATCACTTGGTTTGCCAGGAATCTGTAGAACAAAGTAGGATTAAACGCGTCAAAATAAAAGCATAAGTGATCACCTGAACAAAGCAATTCTTTGAGCTCAATCTGCAAGCCCCTGACCTGCAATGGGAGAGAAGGAAAGCACGTCAAAAACCAAGAAAACATAACGGAGACTAAAAACGCTAAGCGGAAGCCAGAAGAAAAGAAAGGGATACCATCTAGCTTCAGACACTCATTCCCTCGGATGGTAAAACCGTTGCTGAGAAAAATAGACTGCAAAAGCTACACCGGTCACCAGAAAACCAGCGGCGACAGCAACCTTGAGCCAGTCCGGAATTGTGTCCGGAAGTTCATATCGACTACTATGCTCCTGCCAATACTTGAGCAACTTGATAGATAAACGTACCTTTTCACTGATGCTGTCCAAGCCGTTCGGAAAGAGTTCATCCTCCGGTCGTGTCAATTCAGCAACCTCCTTCTCGACCTCTGGGGGTGATTGTTCCTGGATCTGGCTAAAGCTCATCTTTCGTAATGCGTCAGCAACCACAAGCTGGGGGAGACTCGGCCTCGACATGAGCTTCATCTTGTCGGATTCCTGTTGATCGATAGACCCTGTAAAAGTTCCTAAGCGCCTGTGGCAGCTCTCATACGCCCCCATCACTGTCTCCATCTGTGAACTAAATACTGTTATTTCTGTCTCACTGTCTTTAAACGAAAGCTGGCTCGGCAGCGATGCGTCCTGGACCTGGTGCTTCATCAGCTCACTAGTCTCGTCGCTCTTCTTTTCCGCCAGAGGGGAGCTGCCAATGGCTTTTTCCTCGTGCCAACAGTGAGGAACAGTGTCCCAAGAGTCCGAGAAGGACGCATCACTGTCGACGTCTAGCCGAGAGTAAATCTTGCTAGCACGTAAATGGTGCCATCTTTCCAAAAGGTCCTGTTGCAGGAACCCAGAACAGAGACTGCTGTCCCCAGAAGATCCGTCACAAGTGCCGCTGATATCTGTAGTCGACTCACTGTCTGGATCGTCAGATATCCATTCCAGTGAAGCTCGTCCCGGCCTTGGTACTTTCTTCTCCTTGTGCAAAATGGTAGCAACCTTTGGTAAGGCTTCGACTGTCAAGAGCGCTCGGGGCTTCGACTTGCGGCGGTCTTTCACGTCTCCCTTGACAGTGGGTCCGATTCCAAAACATCCATCCAAGTCGCGAGAGGCTTTCTTCCGGAGAATATCGGGGGAACAAGACGGCTGTGCTGGAGGAGCGATGTGATTCCCAGCAGTGCCGCTCGACCTGGGAGGAGAAACCTGGACTGGATCTGGCTGCTTCGCTGCTGCTGCGATCACCCGAGATTGAGCCACGGTAGCCTCGAGCCACTTGAGACACGGCGCCACATCCACGGCAGTGCCCGCATTGTCAGCTCCTGATCTGGGAGATTTGTTGCAAGGCTTGCGCTCTCCGAGAGGACGGCGGAGGAGATTCGAGGAGCAGTGCCGAAGCTGGAGATTAGTACCTGGAGGACGCCGATTCTCCTTTGCGGGCTCGCCGTGCCGACGCATCTTCTCCAGCTCCAAAAACCCTAGCGCTTGGTCTGACTCCAAAATCTAGAGCTTGGAGGGAAAAATACAAACCTCACGGAAGATGCGTTGCTCACGGAAGATGCTGACGACACCGGAATATTCTCCTCAAGAACAAGCTTGCAAGTTGGAGAGGAGAATGTAGGACGACGCCCACTGCCCGCCCTTTTGGAGCGCTCTCTCCGCCACTCTCTCCGCCGCATCGACGCCGCCATGGCTCTTGCAAGCGCCCAACAACGCCGTCCACGCGATTCCATCCGGCGCCACTGGCATCCTCTCCACGAATTCCTCGGCGCTCTCGAGAATTCCGGCTCGGCTGAGCAGATCGATCATGCAGGCGTAGTGCTCGGCCGCGGGTGCGATTCCATAGCTCTCACTCATCGCCGTGAAGTGATGCGTCCCCAGCTCCACGAGCCCCATATGGCTGCAAGCGCTGAGCGCCGCGATGTAGGTCACGGCCGTCGGGATTGTTCCATCTTGCTCCATCGCATGGAGTAGATCCAGCGCCTCCCTCACAAATCCGGCCTGGGAGTAGCAAGAGATCATCGTGTTCCACAGCGCGGAGCTCCGCCTGGCGCCCCCGCGATCGAATAGCCGCCTTGCTTCTTGGAGATTTCCACACTTGCCATACATCCCGACCAGCGAATTCGCGACCGTGGAGCTGGAATCGTAGCCAGCAGCGTCAATCTCAGCGTGGAGGAACCGGCCGCGAGCTAGATCCGATGCAGCGCCACACGAATCGATCGCCACCAAGAAGGCCATCTCGTCGGGTTTGATTCCATCAAGATCCATGAGCAAGAAATATTTCATCGCCGATCGAGCGTCGCCGCTCTGGAGGAAGCCGGTGACGATCGCGCTCCAGGAGATCACGTCCCTGGCAGGAATCGCCAAGAACAGCGCCAGCGCCTCGTCCATCACAGCGTTGAGGCACAATCCCGTGAGCATCGCGTTGCAAGCCGAGGTGTTCTTCGCTGGAAGATCGCGGAAGACGGCCAGGGCGGATTGGATCCGGCCGCCTTGGCAGTAGCCGATGATCAATCCAATCCACGACGAAATGCTCCACTTCGGCATCCTCGCGAAGGAATCCTCGGCGCCTTCCACGCTCGCGGTGTGACCATAGGCGGAGACGAGTGTGTTCCAAGAGATGAGATTCCTTTGCGGCATCGCCAGGAAGAGCGCTATGGCGGAGGACATATCGCCGGTGTAAGCGTAGCCAAGCATCGCGGCGGTGGAGGAGACGATGTCGTGCTGCGGCATCTTGCCAAGAACAGCTCTCGCGAGCTCGGGCTCGGCATTCTTGGCGTGCGCGGTGATCAAAGAATTCCAAGAAACGATGTTTCTTTCTCCCATCCTCTCGAAGAGATTCTTGGCGCCGAAGTGGTCTCGATTCTGTGCGAATGCCGCGATCATCACATTGCACGCTGATAGATCTGGAGCAGCCAGCTGCTCGAATGCCGCTCTAGCCCGCGAGAGATTTCCCTCGCTAGCGTGCGCCATGACGAGGATGCTAGAGATTGCGGCACTCTTGAATCCAAATCGATCTTTCATGCTCGTCGCGAGATCCAAGTGGCCCTGCGTCGCGAGCGCGTGGATTACGAGCGTCCAGGAAGCCTCGCTCCATCCCGGCATCCGATCGAAGACGTTCTTGGCCGCGAATGAATGCCCGCTATGGGCAAATGCTGCGATCATCGCGTTCCAGGAGATCTCATCCAGCTCCGGCATCCAGTGGAAGATCACGGACGATTGTTCTGGCGATCCAATGCGCGAGTAGGCCGTGAGAATCGAATTGAACGACACGAGTCCCCACTGTGGCATTCGATCGAAGACTTCCCTGGCAAGAACAATATCCCCATTCCTGACATATGCCCCCAAGAGGATGTTCCAGGAGAATGTGTTGGATCTCTGGATCTGCGAGAAGGCCAGATGCGCCTCATCCATGGATCCACAGCTGGAATACATCTGAATGAGGAGATTTCCAAGGAGAGTGTCGTGATCCTGGCGAGAGGCGACGATGTGAGCGTGAAGACGCTTGCCCTCCCGCAGGGATTTGCAAGCGATGCACTGGCGGAGGAGATTGGCGTAGGCCGCGCGCTCGATGTGGAAGGCGTCGCCGAATCGATCGACATTGTAGACAAACTCGGCCAAGCTTCTCATGCCATTGCCGCCATTGCCGAGCAAACCTAGGGCATGGCGGCCGCGATTGTGGACTCCAGCGTCGGCGATTTGGATGGCGTGCTCGAGGCCGCCGAGAAGCAAGGCGGTGGCGCCGTGCTGCTGCTCTTCCTGGGCGATCGAATCCCTTCCATCGGCCGGAGCTGGTGCCCAGGTGAGCAATCTAGACAAGTAACTTCTCCCTTTGATCTTCTCTCTCTTTTTTCCTGCTAGATTGCGTGAGAGCTGAGCCAGTGATCTACAAAGAAGTGGAGAGCGCTGGGCACAAAGTCACGCTTGTGAGAGTGAATGTGGGCGACAAGCCGACTTGGCGAGACCCTGCTCATCCTTTGAGGATTGATCCACGCTTCCGGCTCACGGGCGTTCCCACGCTAATCCGCTGGAGCTCTGGCACAATTGTCGATCGCCTGGAAGATCACGAGGCTCATCTCGCGGACAAAGTTCGCAGGCTTGTCAACACCCCCGACAAGATCGTCAATCCTTGAATGTTTAGAAAGTTAGACATCAACTATATCTACGTCTACAGTGTTCTTCTTTTTACCATCTATTGTCCCTCAACAAGTCTCTAGTTTAACATTTCACAAGCGCTTCCTCCGGAACACTCCCGGTAGTGGCGCGCATGAGAGAAGCCAAGCTTGGTCAGTGCGGCTTCAACATCCCGCTCATCTGGAAAAGAGAACTGTTCAAACTCTCTGCTTGATCGATCGAGGCTTACGTACCAGTGGAACCAATCTTGCAGCCGATCAATCTAAGATGCCTGGCTGCGTTCTCCGCACGCCTATCGAATGTTGAGCTGATACCAGGCCACACTCCTCGCATTTCCCTGTGGAAACAACGTTCTCTAGTTTTGCTACGCCAAGTAGAACTCGTTTGAAAGGTACCTAAGGAACAAGCGTATGCTGCTCTGGCTCAGTCCGAACAAGCCACTTAGCTGCCTGTTTAGTTCGGAGGGATCGCTGATAGTCTTGAACGAGCATACGGCACCAGCGTGTTCAGTTTTCAGCTGTAGTGCCAGCCTTTGCAGTCGAGCAGCAGTTCTGCAACATTCAAAGAAAGGGAAGTTTGTCCAGACGAAACCCAGACTCCGGAACGCACCTCTCTGGGTAGCTCGTGTAGCCGGCCCTCTCTAGCACCTTGGCGTTCTCTTCCAGGTCAGCCTTGAGAACATCAGTGAGCTTTGTGATCCCTGAAGTAACGATGTTCTGATGACAAAGACGTTACCGGAAACTCAAGAAAGATCGGATTTTTACCATAGTACCTTGAACGTGCCGCTGCAAACATCTAGCGCCGTGCTGCGGTTGAACAAGGCCACAGCAAGAAACCACTTTTCGACTTCGTCGTCTCCTTTGTCTACATCGATACCAAGGGCCTTGGATGTTCTCCCACCGAACTTGTTCACCAGTTTCGAAAAGACCTGTGCAAAAACGAAAATAGTCAGTCACACAACTGCCAAGAGAATTCTTAAGAGAAAGAAAAAAGTAGAAGGGATAAGCGTACCTCTTTGGCCTCCTCATCATCGAGGAAGCCGCCGTCCTCACTCCTAGCATGCTGGTCGCTGCTTTCAAGCGTTGAAGTATCCTCTGTCTCCGTGTCCTCGTTCATGGACGACAAATTCTCGATGTTAACCCTCGACGCGAACTTCTCGCGACCGTCAGGAGTAGCAACGCCGTTCACATTATGGCCGAGAGTTTGCTGAGGCAACTGTTGGCTCTTCTTGGCGTGACTGCTATCGTCAGGCATGTGAGAGAGCCTGGCTTCCCGAGCATTCCTAATAACCCGCATCTTTTTCCTCCTCTGGAACTCTGCATTTTATCACAAGAACTCTTGGGTCAACATTTTGAACAAACCAAACAAGAAAAGATCAAGCACCTTTCCTTAAGGCAGACTCAGCCGAAGTCGCAGTTACTGCTGGAGAGAGAAGCGCCCCATACATATAAGAGTCCGCCGTCAAGAATTTCCAAAGCCCCTGGAGTCCAGCCGACTTGAGGGTCTTCTTGAGACATTTTCTTCCCCTCTCCTTGAACCTGGCGCCACTGCCTTCACCTGCCTTGACCATCGCTACTCTAAAATCCCCAACTCCACCAGTAACCCAGCCTAAACTTCGCAACGGTGCCAACAAGCGAACTTGGTGAAAACGTGGCACTCCCTACAACTGCCACGTAAACAAACACGCGTCATCACCACCTCGAGGTACCCAGGCATGCCAACTTACAAGAGCTCCTCTCAGATGAGAGCGAAGACGAGATCTTCTGCGCTGACGATGGAGTCCATGGGCGGATTCGTGAAGACGTATGGACACGGACTGCCATGCGTTCCCTTTGCTCGGTAGAGACCCAAGGCGAGCATGCCTCTCTCTGCCAGGAGCTCCGAGAACATATCACCGTAGGAACGATTCACGTACTTTTGTGGAGCTTCGAACTGCTCCAAAACTCGAGCATGCTTGCTGTCGTCAACGCTGCCCTCCACAAGCTGCTCTACGATTGAGCTGGTATTCTTGTTGTAGAACGAGGAGCGCCTGCGAGTAAACACACTCAATATCAAAAAAAGAAAAAAACGAATAGAACACTTATGTGCTTACATGAGAAAGCTGAGCATGCTTGGGGAGACCGCTCGTCCTTCCATGTATGCGGGTGCAAAGTGAGCAACAGCGTCAGGATTGCGTTTGTAAGCGTCCGCAGGTATAGAGCCACTTGGGATCTGGCTATACGGCCACAGGTAGTGCAAGCCAATCGCATGCTGCATCTCAATCACGACTTTGGTGAGATCACCGTGAAGCAAGCGCTCGATGTTGGCCAGAATTATAATGCCGTCTACGTCACTGGTGTAAGCCCCTGGATTCTTCCGGGTATCAGCAGTTTGCTGAACACCTTTCCCACTGGCATCAATCGGACACCCAGGATACGCAAGCACAATGACTTTGTCTAAATCATAGCAATCAAAGGTTAAAAAACTTCATAGAAAAACCTTGAAAAACATACCTGCATGAATGACTCCAGCACGCATTAAATCAAGCTCGTGAATCGGCGAGCCCTTCACGAAAAATACGTCTTTGAAAACGCCGACTGATCCCCACTGATAGAAATCGGGTTGGGATGGATGTAGAATCACCACCGGATGATTCGGAAACGTTGGCTTTCGGAGCTCGACTAGAAAGTAAAACAGATTGGCCGGCCATTTGCCTTGACAGCAAACCAGTATGTGTGCCTTCTTCAAGCTAACGATTGTGATGCTCCTTCTTTGGAGGTCTTGCAAAATTTTCTGCTCGTTCCTTTCGAGCAAAACAGCGTGCGGTCGACCATAAATGTCTGCTGAAGGCCATGCAAGCGTCCAGTCCATGGACGCTTCCAATGCTGCAGATGGTTCTCCTTCCAAGTAATTACTGGTCGATGCGTCGATCTCCGTAGAGTCGCTGAAGCCATTGCCGCTGAGCAATGCAGCGTGATTCTTTTCGACAGCGTCTCTGAGACTAACGATCAGCTTGTGATGTCCCACAGGACTCGAAGGCACGGGAACCGGTTGGCTGCCATCTAAATATGAGTCTATACCAGGTATCTCCTGTCTTTTAAAAGAGGCCACTGAACCCAGCTTCTTCCACCGAGAGCTCACAGACTCCAAGAGCTTACGCTCGCGACTTTGAGGATTTGAGCAAGTCCCTTCGAACTTAGATATGCTGTAGACGGTATTGAGGCTCGTTGCCATCACAAGACCAATGTCATTTGAGGAGATACTATGTCCTTTTGGGTGCAGCAAAACCGTTCCACTTGTGTCTAACGCAAAGAGTGTTATATTGAACGAAGAGTATATAAATTCCGTAACCTGCATACAAAAACAACATGATTCAGTATAAGGATGGAAAAAGAAAAATACTTGCCTCTTCAAAAAGCAGACCGTGAAAAGCGCTTGGAAAAATCAATGGATACACTTCGTTGTCAAAACTGTGATTATACTCAACTATGTGACGCATCGAAGGTATATTATGTAGCTGAATTTCGGACGTAAACAAATTTGTAATAAAAGTATAGAGACCCTTGATCGTACAACTGCAACCAAGAAAGAACGATATAGTCGAATTGACACATAAAAAATGTGAATTGAACTGGACCTGCGAGCTAGTAGCTTGTTATGCAGCTTTGTCTGGCAAATAACCTCAATCCCCTGCCCATAAGCATTATCCCAAACGCTACATCTCAGAGCATCAGGGTCTAGTACTTCAACAACTATCCGAACTCGACCTTTGCAATAACGGCTTACAGCCAAAGCTCTAAAAATTTGAGTATGATCTTCTGTTCTTGGATCCTGCAAAGCCACTTGAGATAGCAATTTTGTTACCGAATATAAAATCAAGTTACCAATGTCTCCTTGTCCGCCAAAAGGAAAAAAGCTGACGCTTTGTCTGCGCTAATACGATCCAGGTCTGATGTCTGTGACGGGCACCCTTCGTAGAACTCCACTTGATTATTGTAAAGGGACAGCAACTGCTGCAACTCGAATCTACAAAAATGGAACAGCTAAGTATGACAAGTTTGAAAACGTAGCTCTTACGATGGAGTAAATGGCGCGAGAATAATAACGTGCATAGGATAGATTTCTAGATCTGAGAATCATCCGAGCTGTAAGTCCGAATATTAACAGCTGCGCGACTAAAGCATTCTCTCACCTTCAGCATGGGTAGGATTATAAAGTTCTGCAAGAAAAATCTGAATCACGCGCAGCTCTATGCTGCCGCCTATAATCAGAAATCGTGACCCGAGCACCTTTCTTGAGTTGAAAGTACCACCATAAGGTCTGGGACGGGCTGCCCCGTAAGAAAGAAGAGAAGATAAAACACAAACATTGTACCTATTGTATGCAAGTGTACTGATCCTGCTCACTTGTATGGGAAGAATGGCTACGGCAATCATAATTGTGATGATGATAGCAGCCTGGCCTTGAATTGTTACGGGAACAACATCTCCGTATCCAACAGTCGCAATCTATTAAAAAGAAAGACGTTTCTTGAAGTTCAAAACAAGTGTGCAACATACCGTAACAATGACGAAATAGAATGCGTCCCAGAAAGACATGCACCCTTCTCGGGGACACATCCGTTTGGTTTTTTCAGAAGCACCATGATACTCCAGCCATTGAATAATACCAGCAACAAGAACGACTGTATAGAAACAGATTAAGTATCAATAAATTCAAGTTGATTTAAAACCTGCGCCAGCAGTGGAGAAGATTAATAGAATAATCTGTTGGGTTAACGTGCTTCCAGCCATTCCTAGCTTCGTAATGCAAGATGATATTCTGTAACAACCGAAAAACTTATCGAACTGCCATAATTACCAATCGCATAAGAGTACCTTACAATGCGAAGAAACTGAAGCAAGTTATAAACATCACCGCCGGCTTTGCGATACCTGAGTTGATTCGCAATCATAGTTCATCCGTTGAAAAACATCTCAAACAGTTTACCTGAAAACGTTGAAAATGGGAATAGCGCTCAAAAGATCCACTAGACCCGACAAGGAGAAAATGTAGAAAATCCGAGCAGGCTCACTGCA